TCCGCGTGCGCGTCTCTCCGGGGGTGGGGGTCGGCTTCCCACATCACACCCGCCCCTGCTCAATAGGGAACAGAGGAAGCTCAGCAGCCTCGCTGCCCGAGCCAGATCCTGCCTCTGAAAAGCTCCGGGCCCTTTCTCCTCGCTCCCGCGCCCGTTCTGCCCGCCGCTCAGCCTCCAGGTTGCCAAGTGGCAAATAGGCCCGGCTCTGTTCTGGGAGATTCCGGGGCCCTTTCTGAGTGGGGCTTCCAGCCGGCCCTCCCTCCCAGCAAAGCCTGGAGAAGGGATGGAAGGAAGATTGGAGGGGTGGGGCCTGGGCTGAGATTCCCCGGGGTACCCTGGGCAGAAATGACACTGAATGTTTGGGCCACAAAACTTTACTGGCAGAAACCGGCAGCTGGTCTGCCGTGGGCCACAATTTGCTAATTTGATTTTTAAGATATTACACTAAGTTGTAATTTATCTTGATTACTGAGTTTTTTCCTTGCCTTCTTACATTTTGAACTGAGGGTGAATGCCTCCCTGGCCTCACCCTAGTCCTGGCTCTGGTCCACAGCCTCCAGGGCCTGTGTTTTAGCTGGAAGGCCCTGCAGGCCACATGCAGGGGCTCATGCCTATAATCCCAGCACTTCGCCAAGCCGAGGCAGGAGGATCGCTGAAGCCCAAGGGTTTGAGACAAGCCTGGGCAATATAGCAAGACCCTGTCTCTGCAAAAATGCTTTAAAAAGGAAGACCCTAGAGATCCCTGACCCCCCTCCCTTGCCCCCGGGGAGGAAAAGGACTGTTAGTGGTGCCCATCCTTGCTACCCTGCTTCTTCCTTCCTCTTATCTGGGGTCAAGTGGGCTACTGCCACTTTGAGGGCCGTCCAAAGAGGTGACCTCACCAAGGGTGGGGACAGGAGAAGAGGCTGCTGCAGGGGTGGCTGATGGAGTTCTTAGAAAGTCAAAAGCGGGAAAAGACCTTCTAGACAGCCTAGGAGGAAGCGGGCTTGTGAACCACAAGAGAGCCAGGGCAGAGCTGACAAGGACCCTGGTCGCTTGTCTCCCAGCCTTCTTGTCTCCTACCTGTGGGGTGTCAGTCTGAATTTGCCACCAGGCAAATGGTGGTGAAGCGTGAGCGCAGGATGACTGAGACAGTGTCTGCCACCACGGACTGTGAGCCCTCAAAGGCAGGGCAAGCCTGGTGCCCCGCCTTGTGCATATGTAAACAGATATTCGGGGCTCCTTCTGGAGAACCTTCCTGGCTCTGATGCAGGTGGTGGGGGATGAAGTTTATTTAGCAATTTTAGGATTAAGAGTTTTCAGCTGGGCATGGTAGCTCACGTCTATAATCCCAGCACTTTGGAGGCTGAGGTAGGAGAATCACCTGAGCTTAGGAGTTCAAGACCAGCCTGGGAAACAGGGCAAAACCTCACCTCTACAAAAAATACAAAAATTAGATGGGTGTGGTGATATGTGCCTGTAGTTCCAGTTACTGGGGAGGCTGAGGTGGGAGGATCACCTGAGCCCAGGAGGCCAAGGCCATGTTTGTGCCACTGCATTCTACCCTGGGGCAACAGAGTGAGACTTTGTCTCAAAAACAAAAATAATAAATAAATAAGTAAATTTTCTGACAGAAAGCTGCTGGAGGAGTGGAGGGGCATTCATAGCCAGGTCAGGGGTCGATGCCCAGCTTCACTGTATTTACTGTGTGTGTGGCTTAAGCGCTTCAAGCCTCAACCTTCCTTGCTGGAGAATGGGGATTAAAATCCCTAGGTCATAGCATCACTTAAATGAGGTAATCTGTGGACGGTGCCTGACCCAGCGCTAGCACATGGAAAGCGTCCTGGCAGCTCAGTTCTCCTTTGCTTCCATTTCCATTCACTCATTCTGTGCAACACTCTCTCCCTCTTCCAGGTGAGTTGCTTTGGGAATTGGTGACTCATCCAGGGTCCATGCCCCCTGTCTCCCAGACAGGATCTGTTTCTCTGGGTCACACTGCTCACACATGGCTCACCTGCACCCTGACAAAGCATTCTGGTGCTAAGTGTAGATGAGTATTGAGCTGGATGTCTCTTTCTGACCACAGAATGTGTTGGGTCAACAAAGGGTCCTGGGGTGAGTGCCCAGCCGACCCCACAACTTCTGGACCCTAAAACTCTGGGGTCTCCTCCCTGTATCCTCTCTCCCAGACTGTTGTTCTGCCCACTCTCTTGATCCTGGCAGGCAGGCTCCCCAGGTGGTCCAGGGGCTGACTGCTGAAGCAGAAGCTGCCCCCCTCATTGAAGGGCTCTGACAGGCAGGGCTGTTGCCCCCCCTCCCCTGCTCCACTGTCTCCAGGGATGGTGATTTGATTTCCTCCAATCGTCAGCATTGCCATCTGCCTACAGTAATTAAATGGTATTTGAACTGAATCCAGAAATCCCACTGCAGGCAGCCACGTGGTAGGGAGGCCGTCTTCAGGAGCTGGTGCTAGTCAGCAGAGCTGGAGGGTCCTCAGAGGCTGCTCACGCCAGGCCCTTGGTTTACCTAGGAATGTCTGGGTGCCCTGGGAGGAAGTGCTTAGCCTTGGATCCCAGGAGCCCGGGGGCAGAGCCAGGTCTGAGAGCCAGATTCCTCTTTAGTACCTGTGTGCAATGCCGCACCCCTCCTTCCAAGGTTGCTCCTGCTCTCTCTCCCTGCATATGTGAAATGTTCTTTCCCCCTGGCACTCTGAGCCCTGATCCTTGGAGACAGGGTAGCGTAAGACCATTGAAAGGGCAGTGCATGCAGACTGCACAGGTTCAAGCCCTGGCTCTGCTGCTGACTGTGACCTGTGACTCTGGCTGTGTGCCGTCTCAGCTTCCTCATTCATACATGAGGGTCATAGTCCTCACCTCCCAGTGTCTTGAGGACCAAGAGTGAATCCATAGCAGTGTTTAGATGCTGCCTGGCACAGAGTGAGTGCTCAGTGTATGTTCACTGCCATCATTAGCAGTAGAGGTAGAAGTAGAGGTAGGAGCCTTGCTGACCCTGAGCTCTTACTGGAGCTTCAGGTTTCTGGTCTGGAGGTCCAGAAGGATGAGCGAGAATCAGCCATTCTCTTCCCAGGCAGAAGCCATTTCAGGTGGAAAATGGAGAAACCGGGCTTCCCTTCCAGCCTGGACAGACAGCTGGATAAATGTGGTGACTTCTTTTGGGCTTCCGTTCCTTTTAGAGGAGAGCCACTGACGTGTGAGGGTCTGTTCACACCTTGGAAACACTTCTGAAGAAGGCCCAGACTCCTATCTGTGGGTTGGAACTGGGCCTGGTATAGCTCACCCCCACAATCCCTCCCTGCTGGGCTTTCCCCACCTCCCCAGTCGCCTTTATTCCCTTGCAGTGGAAATGCAGAGAGCAGGCTCAGGTGAGCACCTTCCCCAGCCTACAGCTCTGAATGGACCCTGGGGGCTGGGGCAGCTGGGGACAGAGACCGAATGGCGACTTGGAGGCCCTAAACTCTGTGGCTAGGCGCCTCTGGGCCCAGGATGGGTGCTGGCCTGGCCCCTGGCATTCTTTCTTCTCTTGGTGAGTGTTGGCTTAGGGAGAGGAGGCCTGACAAGCAGCTCATTGTGAGTGCCTGCTGATGGGCCGGCTTGTGTGAGCCCACGGGCATGAGAGCCTAACCCCCATCCCCTTTCACTTTAGGAGGTTGGGGTGGGGGCAGCGCTTTCTGCCAATCCCTGCACACGCATGCTTGCTGACTCCTTCTTGGTTGCCATGGGAACCTTGTCATAGTGATGGCTGCTTGGGAGAGAGAGGAAGGGGTGGCTGGATAGAGATAGTTCTGTCTATGGCTGGCTCCTCGCTCAGTCCCGATGCCGCTTTTCTTCCTCTTTACAGGGAAGCCTGCCAGGATCTGGCTTGGGAGCCCACCCTGGGCTGGCCTGGTGTCCTTTCTAGAGGCCCTTGCCCTTCACAAGGGAACCTGGAAGTTGACCTGGTCAGTCCTAGCTGTGCGTGGTCTGGCCCCTCCGCTCCTAGAAAGGAAGCAGAGCTGGGGCCTGAGAATGTCCACCAGGCTCTGGCATCTGGGAAGGGGGCTCCTGGTATGGCATCAGGGAGGGGAGCTCCCGGCCTCCTGCTTACAGCCCCCATAGGCATTGGCAGAGGCTCTGGCCTCCTCTAGAACGTAGTCCTGGCTCTGGGAATGTGGCCCAGAGCTGTGGGAGCATCCAATTCCTTCTCTTCCCCACCCTGGCCCTGCGCTCTGCCTCCCCAGCAGTGGGCAAGCTGTCTTCTCTCCCCTGGTGAGATGCTGATTTCTAGGCTTCTGATCCAATCGGGAGTGTGTACGTTTATGTCACACAGACCTGGATATGGCACCATCGCTTTCCGTAATACACCCTTGGGCAAGTCATTTAAACTCTCTCAGCTTCGGTTTTCTCATCTGTAAAATTAGGCAAATAATAGGCACCTCACAGGGTTATAGTGAAGAATACATGAATTAATTTATTGAAAGTACTTTGAACATAGATCCGATATATACTGAGTGCTTAATAAATGTTAACAACTGCTGTTTTGATGATGTTGATATAGTTATTACTACTGTATTACAAAAGTTGGCCGGGTGTGATGGCTCACGCCTGTAATCCCAGCACTTTGGGAGACCGAGGTGGGTGGATCACGAGGTCAGGAGTTTGAGACCAGCCTGGCCAACACGGTGAAACCCCGTCTCTACTAAAAATACAAAAATCAGCTGGGCGTGGTGGTATGTATCTGTAATCCCAGCTACTCAGGAGGCTGAGGCAGGAGAATCGCTTGAACCCAGGAGGCGGAGGTTGCAGTGGGCTGAGATGGCGCCACGGCGCTCCAGCCTGGGCTACAGAGCAAGATTCTGTCTCGGGGGAAAAAAAAAGTTGCCCATGTCCTCTGGGGGCACATAAGCATCCCTCCTTTTCCTCTGGCTCACGGGGGTAGTGGCAGCTTGGCAATCAGTGTGAGACAGGGGCCTGTGGCAGCCCCCTTCCAGCTGCCTGACCCAGGGCTTTCTCCATCCTGGACAGGATCCGGCCCCAGCTGTCAAAGGAGAAGATTGAGGGCTGTCACATCTGCACCTCCGTTACCCCGGGAGAGCCCCAGGTCCTGCTGGGGAAGGACAAGGCCTTCACCTATGACTTTGTCTTCGACCTGGACACCTGGCAAGAACAGATCTATTCCACCTGTGTGAGCAAGCTCATCGAGGGCTGCTTCGAGGGCTATAATGCCACAGTGCTGGCCTACGGGCAGGTAAGCCATCTTCACGCCCACCTATGGCCGCTCCCGCCTTGGTCTCCCTGCATCCAATGAGAGGGCCCCACCTTCACAGCAGCTGAGACACAGCCTCAGGGTTTTGTCTGTTGTCTAAGGATGCTGCTGCACCCCTGGTTAGCAGAGGGAGGGCTGTCAGTCAGAGACTTCCCCAGAGTGTGGCTGCAGGACCAAGAAAGCAGCTGGGGAACCAGGCTAGGAGGTGGATGAGCTAAGGGGATTTGGCCAGGCACGGGGTTTGCTGGTGCCCCCAAAGGGTGTGGAGTTACACCCTCCTATCTTTGCCAACGCAGACGGGGGCTGGGAAGACGTACACCATGGGTACTGGCTTCGACATGGCAACGACAGAGGAGGAGCAGGGCATCATCCCGAGGGCCATCGCACACCTCTTTGGGGGCATTGCGGAGCGCAAGCGTCGGGCACAGGAGCAGGGTGTGGCTGGACCTGAGTTCAAAGTCAGCGCCCAGTTTCTGGAGGTACTGTGGCCTCGTGGGCGGGCAGGTGGGAGGCTTGGCGGACTGCAGGACCATGGAAGCTGGGCCTTCCTCCAGTGCAGTGGAATGAGCCCAGGAAATCACGGGGGCATCTCCAGGTGATGAGTTCCCTGCTACTGAAAGAATCCAAGCTATGGTGGAAGACTACTTGGTGGGACACTCGAAAGGGGTTCCTGCATCAGATGGAGCTTGAGTTGATGACCTGTTTGATCCCTTCACACCTGACTGGTTTTAGCTCTGACACTGATTACCCTTGTGACCTTGAGCTAGTCATTTCATCACACTGAGCCTCATCTGCAAAATGGGGCGATACTGGCCTTCTCTGCATCCCCCCTCAGCCTCAGGGCAGCCTATCCTGCCCCTCCAGCTCAGGTGCTTCCTGCCCCCCGAGTCTTCTCTGACCCCAGGCAGGAAGGTCCTCCGGGAAAGGTCTTTCTGTGCACCCACCCTTCCTGTCTCTGGGACAATGTCAGGCCCAGACTGGCAGCTGGGGAGGGGCTTTTAGTGGGGAGCAGGGGGTCTCATCTTGACCCCCACCCAGTAAGGGTGCTTACCCACAAACCCTGGAGCTCTGATTGTATCCAGATTGCCCTCTGAGGGAAGCATGTGGCCTTGGCCCTCTCCAGGCCTTCCCCAACCCCAGCCTCTGCCTATTACAATACAGCTTCCCCTCCTGGGCACACAGGTGGTGGCTTGCCCTCTAGGGTACCCTGCATTTTAGAATTTGAAGGTTTTCTTTGTTCCTCTGGACTTCCCCTTCTAATAAATGCACTGTCTATGTGTGTGTGACTGCGTTCCTGTGTGTGTAGGTCATCTGTGTGTGTGTGTCTCTGTGTCTCGTGTGTCTGTGTGTATGTGTCTGTATATGTGTGTCTATATGTCTCTGTGTGTGTCTCTGTGTCTGTGTTTATGTGTCTCTCTGTGTAACTGTGTCTCAGTGTGTGCTCATTTGTGTGTGGGGTGTATGTTTGTGTCTATATGTCTCTGGGTGTCTGTGTCTATGTATGTGTGTCTGTGTGTCTGTGTGTGCAAGTCTGTGTGTGTGTCTGTGTATGTGTGTCTGTGTGTCTCTATGTATGCCAATCTGTGCGTGTCTATGTGTCTCTGTGTGTGCGCATCTGTGCCTGTGTATCTGTGTATGTGTGTCTGTGTGTCTCTGTGTGTATGTGTCTGTGTATGTGTGTCTGTGTGTCTCTGTGTGTATGTGTCTGTGTATGTGTGTCTCTGTGTGTGCATCTGTGTCTGTGTGTGTGTCTATGTGTCTCTGCGCGTCTGTTTCTGTGTGTGCACATCTGTGTATGTGTCTGTGTGCATGTGTCATATGTCTCTGTGTGTGCACGTCTGTGAATGTGTGTCTGTGTCTCTGTGTGTGCGCATCTGTGTATGTGTGTGTGTCCGTGTCTGTGCATGTGAGTCTGTGTCTGTGTGTGTGCACGCCTGTGTGTGTGTGTGTCCGTGTCTGTGCATGTGAGTCTGTGTCTGTGTGTGTGCACGTCTGTGTGTGTGTGTCTGTGTCTGTGCGTGTGTGTCTGTCTCTGTGTGTGCGCATCTGTCTGTGTGTGTGTCCGTGTCTGTGCGTGTGTGTCTGTGTCTCTGTGTGTGCGCATCTGTCTGTGTGTGTGTCCGTGTCTGTGCGTGTGTGTCTGTGTCTCTGTGTGTGCGCATCTGTCTGTGTGTGTGTGTGTCCGTGTCTGTGCGTGTGTGTCTGTGTCTCTGTGTGTTATCTGTCTGTGTGTGTCTGTGTGTGTGCATGTGTGTCCATGTCTGTGCATGTGTGTGTGTGTGTGTGTGTGTCTGTGTCTGTGTTCATGTCTGTGTCTGTGTCCTGCTGCTCGTGTATCTCAATAAGCATCTCTCTCACATCTCTTTGTTTTCATCCCTCCCCTATCCTGCTGCTGTGGAGAAGCCCCAAAGAGCAGGTTCCTGGAAAATCAGTTCCATGCAGTGAACCACAAGAGGTCAAATGACGCAATGTGTCTGCCCCAACAGACAGACAGACAGACAGACACTGTGGGCCCCCATCTGCCCCATCCATGTGGGATATTTCAGTCCCTTCAGGGCTGTCCAAGCCTGGATGTCTGAGGGCTGCAGTCTCCCCCTGAGCCCCACGGCATTTTCCTGGCTGCCGCCCTAGCCGCCCCATCCCGATTCCACTCCCTAGCCCTCGCTCCCTGCTTGCCGAGCATCCCAGAATTCAGCAGTTCCAAACGCAGGAGTCTTCTTGGCTGAGACCGCCTGAAATGGGGTGACTGCTCCTGGCCGGGCCCCCTCACCACGATGGTCTCACCAGGCCCTCTCCAGGACGCTGGTAGCGTGCTCTCCTTGCCCACCTGCTGCCTAGCATAGGGCAAGGCACACAGATGTGTTCCTCCCCTCAAGAGCTTGTCGTCACCTCAGAGACCACAGGGTCAGGGCACAGCTCCCCTGGTCTCCACTGAGCTCTGTCTCTGCTCTCCCTCACCTGGAGTCACATCCCCACCCACTCTTTCCCACTCCAGGAATACAACAGGATCTGCTCAAACTGTGGCCACCTCTTCCTCATCTCCTGCATCTTAGAGCCCCAATCCTTTGTCTTCCTTCCGTCCTTTGCCCCTGCTGGGACCGAACTGCTGGCTGCTGCTTCCTTGGAGAGTGAGGAACAGTGTGCAGCCTCCAGCTAGTTCTGCTCAGGTCCCAGCTGCCTCCTGCCCCCATCCTTCAGAAAGGCCATGGGATTCAGAACGCAGAAGGGACCTAGAGCCTCAGTTTGCACATCTATAAAACAGAGATGGTTTACAGGCATGTGGCAGCCACCTGGGGCCCCACTGCATGCCCTGTGCCTTCAGCTGTTTCCTTCTGGCACAGCTCTACAACGAGGAGATCCTTGACCTGTTTGACAGCACCCGTGACCCTGACGCCCGCCACCGCAGGTCCAACATCAAGATCCATGAGGACGCGAACGGTGGCATCTATACCACCGGCGTCACCTCTCGCCTCATCCACTCTCAGGAGGAGGTGAGCATCTGCTGGAGGTCTGGAACAGGCCCTGGGCATCCTGAAAGGGCAGGGGCTGGCACCACGGTAGTCCCGAACCCTCACTTCTACCTCTGTTTCCAGCTGATCCAGTGCCTGAAGCAGGGGGCCCTGTCGCGCACCACAGCTAGCACCCAGATGAACGTACAGAGCTCGCGCTCCCATGCCATCTTCACCATCCACCTGTGCCAGATGCGCGTGTGCACCCAGCCCGACCTGGTGAGGAGCCTGCAGGGGGTCCAGGAGCCAGCTTGCTATAGGGGCATCCCAGGAAGGGCAAGATGAGGAGCTACAGATCCAGAGATAGCAAAGAAGATTGAGGCTAGCCTCTGCCATTTGTTGATTTTTATGTATTTTTCTTGAGCCTCAGTTGCCCGATTTGCAAAATGGGTTAATGATCTCTCTATCGTGGTGTTGTGAGGATTTAACGGAAATCAGGCTTGTGCAAGTACTGTGCACACTGTCAGACGCTCTGCATGTGTGGAGGACAGTGTAACACATTCGGCCGTCTGCCCTGCCTCTCCCAGACGGCAGTACTGTGAGCAGGGGAGCCAGCGAGGTGAGCGAGGGCTGGGTGAGTCAGAGCTGACTTCTGCTGCAGGTGAATGAGGCGGTGACCGGGCTTCCTGATGGTACCCCTCCCTCCAGTGAGTATGAGACACTCACCGCTAAGTTTCACTTTGTGGACCTGGCCGGCTCAGAGCGGCTGAAGCGGACAGGGGCCACCGGCGAGCGGGCCAAGGAGGGCATCTCCATCAACTGTGGCCTGGTAGGCACATGGTGGGTCATCAGCCCCAGCACCCACCACTCACACAGCGCAGTCTCAGACCCCTCCAGGGCCCTGCAATCCCATGCCTGCTGAGTCTCCCTTGGACATCTTGCCAGTTAGCCCTTCACTCCCAGACCTCATCCCTGCCCCCAACTTCCTGATTTCACCAGCTTATCCATCTGCCTATAAACCCACCCAGAGAGCAAGAGAGCTGCTGGGGCCAGAGAGGCAGGTACAGATGACTTGGGGATTGTCTTGTCCCTCCCTCCCTCCCTCCACTCCGTGAGTGACTCTTGAGTGCCAGGGTCTGTCTCCCGCAGCTGGCCTTGGGCAATGTGATCAGCGCCTTAGGGGACCAGAGCAAGAAGGTGGTGCACGTTCCCTACAGGGACTCCAAGCTCACTCGGCTCCTCCAGGACTCGCTGGGGGGCAACAGGTATCTGGTGACCAACACCTGCGAAGCGGGCAGGGGAGGCAGGGAGATTCCTGGAAGATGCTGGTGTGTGGGTGTGGCACATGCCTGCCCGGGAGGAGGAGGCCCTCCCATCCTAGGCTGCAGATTTGGGAGATAGGAACCTTGAGGTGCTTCATGACCTTTAGACAGCTATGGTCAGACGCAGTTTCCTTATCAGTAAAATAGGGAGAGATGTTCCTAAGGAACGCCCTATGGCCCAGATGAGATGATAGATGGGAAATGCTAGAAAATGCAGAGCTGGCCTGGCTTGGTGGCTCACGCCTGTGATCTCAGCACTTTGGGAGGCCGAGGCGGGTAGATCACCTGAGGTTAGGAGTTCAAGACCAGCCTGGCTAACATGGTGAAACCCTGTCTTAAAAAAATAATAAAAAACAAAATGCAGGGCTGTGGCCTATCCTCATCACCAAGCAAAGGACTGTGGCAATTGTGTATCACTGCGTCCTTAGCCTTGGTAGCTGCCTTCGCTGTGGTTACCTGCTGCTGCAGTGGAAACTCCCAGCCAGGTGGTCCAGATGCCCACATCCCAGGGTCTGTCCTCCTGAATGCATTAAGGCAGCGGGGGAATGTGATGGGAGCGGGACCTCTGCCCTGAGGCAGTGCCTCTGGAGACCGGCTGGGTCCCTCACCCTCACACCAGCCTTTCTGCACCCCCAGCCAGACCATCATGATCGCCTGTGTGAGCCCCTCAGACCGAGACTTCATGGAGACCCTCAACACACTCAAATATGCCAATCGGGCCCGCAACATCAAGAACAAGGTGGTAGTGAACCAGGACAAGACCAGCCAGCAGATCAGTGCACTGCGGGCTGAGATTGCCCGGCTGCAGATGGAGCTGATGGAGTACAAGGCGGTGAGCGTGCCCTTGGGCGCTGCCCAGCACTCCCTCTTGGAGCTAGTGTGCCCTCTCCCCCAGCCTCACCCTGACTCTCACCTCCCTGTCACCCACCATCCACTTTGGACGTGACTCTTGAGCATCGGTTGTGTGCCAGGCATGATGCTCACTATTAGGGACTCACCCAGGTGAACCAAGCACAGTCTGAGCCCTCAGGATTTTAGAATATTAAGTTGGAGGAAGAAGGGCTCCCCGGCTTTTGTTGCATAGATCTTATGGACACAGAAGACACTCTCCAGGGAGTTTTCACGTCTGCTGAACGTGTTGTTTGGGAACAGACGAGACTGCTAGACTGGCCTGTAATCGGTAGAAGAGACCGCAGGAGTAGTTCAGTGTGCTGCAGAGGAGACAGTTGGCCTCATTTTCTTGGATGGTCGGGGAGGGCCTCATGGAAAAAGGGGCCTTTTATATGGATTTCGCAGAGTGAATGAGATAACAACAAAATGAGATGGGACAGGCATTCTAGGTAAGGAACAAGCCATGCACAGAGACACAGAGTGGGAGAAAATGGGTCCTTTGGGGGACTGTCTAATTCCATGTGACCAAGGCAGAAGTCACCAGCTGGTAGCCCATGGCCTGAATCTGGCACATAGATGAGTTTTAGTTTGGCTTGCACTTGTTTTAAAAGAAGAAAACTTAGTTGTCAACCTTTCTGAAAGTCAGGGAGTTTCAGATTTGCTGGAACTACTTATGGTCCTAAGCTGGCTGGAGTGGCATAGAGGCTGCGCCTTTTATACTGAGTCTGGGACTCTCTGAGCTCCAGTCTCTACCACTCCCTACTGTCTTACACCCAGCCTGACTCATTTGTGCCAGCTGCCTGCAGAGAGGGTTTTGACCCTTGGACTAGTGTTTATGGAGATAAATGAAAGTACACTGTGGAAAGGTAGGTCAAGTTAAGATTGCGAGAGGCCTTGGGTGGCTGCTCACAAAATTTGGGCTGTTTATTGTCGAGGAGAACTATGTAAGGTTTTTGAGCATTGGGGGCCAGGAGCTGTGTTTTAGGAAACCCGTGACAGGGGAGAATGGTGGTGCTGCCGTAGCCAGGGGAAGGCCAGGGCGCTGGCAGAGGGAGGGGTGTTGTCAGCCCCTTCCCCCGCCTGCAAACTCGGCTGCCTGACTGCTCTCCGTCGCCCCTGCTCCCAGGGCAAGCGAGTGATCGGGGAGGATGGTGCCGAAGGCTATAGTGACCTGTTCCGGGAGAATGCCATGCTGCAGAAGGAGAATGCGGCTCTGCGGCTCCGGGTGAAAGCCATGCAGGAGGCCATTGACGCCATCAACAACCGCGTCACCCAGCTCATGAGCCAGGAGGCCAACCTGTTGCTGGCCAAGGCCGGTGAGTTGGGGTGTGCCAGGGCAGCTCAGAGCACCAACGAGCTAGGATCCCCTCTCCCCACACCCACCCTAGAGCATCAGGTGGGCTAAGCCAGCCAGTCAATTCACAGTTCAACTCATTTATGCATTTTTTTCACTTGATTTTAAAACATCTTTGTATGACACAAGTAATACATGAACACTTCCTTCTTGTTCAACATGCAAACAGTACATCACTATATGAAGTGAAAGGTTAAAATTGTCTCTCCCTGAACTCTCCATCCCAGGCCCTCCCTACTTCTCAGAAGGAACCTCCATGAGCAGCTTGGTGTGTATTTTCCCACACCTTTCTCAGTATTTGTTTCAAGTATGAATATGTGTTCGTATATATTCTTAAATGTGCATACGATATAGACTACTTTTTCTATGTATGAGATTGTATATATTGCTCTAAGACTTACCTTTTCCATTTAGCATTCTGTTTTCGAAATCTTTCCGTATTAAACCTACTTTGGGTTCACGCCTGTAATCCCAGCAACTTGCGAGGCCAAGGCAGGAGAATTGCTTGAGCCCAGGAGTTTGAGATCAGCCTGGGCAATACAGGGTCACCTAGTCTCTGCAAAAAAATATGAAGATTAGCCAGGTGTGGTGGCACATGTCTGTAGTTCCTATTACTTGGGAGGCTGAGATAGAAGGATTGCCTGAGCTCAGAAGGTCGAGGCTGCAGTCGGCTGTGACTCTAGCCTGGGCGACAGAGCAAGACCTTGGCTCTAACCAAAAATTTAAAAAAAAAAAAAAAAAAAAAAAAGCCCACTTCTCTTCATCTTCTGCCATGGTGTTCCATATGTAATAATGATGAATAAATTTATTGTCATAGGCCAGTGATGGGCATTCAGGTCGTTTGTGCCTGTATACCTCTGTGCAAAGTATATTTTGATACAGATTCCTTTTTGGAAAAGGCTCACGTGAGCTACCCTATTACAGGCACAGATATAAGAGCAGTAGTCCAGAGGTGAAGGCCCTTGCTGTGTATCTTTCTTGTTCTTCTTCTTTTTTTTTTGAGATGGAATTTCACTCTTGTTGCCCAGGCTGTAGTGCAATGGTGTGATCTTGGTTCACTGTGGCCTCCGCCTCCCGGGTTCAAGCGATTCTCCTGCCCCAGTCTCCCAAGTAGCTGGGATTACAGGCATGCACCACCACGCCCAGCTAATTTTGTATTTTCAGTAGAGACGGGGTTTCTCCATGTTGGTCAGGCTGGTCTCGAACTCCCGACCTCAGGTGATCCGCCCACCTTGGCCTCCCAAAGTGTTGGGATTACAGGCGTGAGCCACTGTGCCAGGTCTATGTATCTTGTTTATCGCACCCTCCTTCCCGGCTTCCCACTCCAGGCGACGGCAACGAGGCCATCGGTGCACTCATCCAGAACTACATCCGGGAGATCGAGGAGCTGCGGTGAGTGAGCTGGGGCAGGTGTGTGTAGGCTGCCCCCCCAGCCCCGCCATCCCCCGGGTGAGGCCAAGGGCATTGGTGGCTTACCCGGCCCCGCCCACTCGCTCTTCCTGCACAGGACGAAGCTCCTGGAGAGTGAAGCCATGAACGAGTCGCTGCGCCGCAGCCTCTCACGGGCCTCGGCTAGGAGCCCGTACTCCCTGGGTGCTTCTCCGGCCGCCCCGACTCTTGGGGGCAGCCCGGCCAGCTCCATGGAGGATGCCTCGGAGGTGATCCGCAGGGCCAAGCAGGACCTGGAGCGGCTAAAGAAGAAGGAGGTCAGGCAGCGGAGGAAGAGGTGAGTGGAGTGCCGTCCCCGTCCCCGTCCCCATCCCCGAGAGCCCTCAGACCGCCCCAGTGGACGCTGCCCAGCCCCCAGGAGGACTGCTGCCCACTTGCGTTTAGGAGGGAACCCCACTCCCCCAGCCCCAGGGGCCGCCTCAGTATTGCTTGGGAATTCATGGCTCAGATTTGCTCAGCCTTTTGGACAGCCCCCCTCCCCCACATTCTCCCATGCCATGTGCTTTCCCCCAAGGAGAGGAAGGACTGAGCTGAGCCAAGGCCAGTTCTGGGTGGCCCCAGGGAAGAGCAGCGGGGTTCTCTGCAGAGTAGGCGCTAGCGCCCTCCCCGCCCCCTGGTGAGAGCCTCCCTGTGCTGCCGCCCCGCATGTGTACCCAAGGCAGGGCAGCCCTCCTAATCCAGCCTCCCCGTGCTCCCTGCGCAGCCCTGAGAAGGAAGCCTTCAAGAAGAGGGCAAAACTCCATCAGGACAACAGTGAGGAGACGGATGAGAACGAGGCGGAGGAGGTGAGGAGCACAGCTCGCCCACGTCCCTGCTGGGGTTGGGGGTCCCCCTCCGCATCCTCGTACAGAGTGAGGGAGGGGGCTGGGCCTGCCTCCAGTTGATCCTTGTACTTCCTGCTGTTGCTGACTGGTTACCGTGTTGATCTCCCTCCCCTAGGCCCCCACCTCATCCCAAATGCATGATGCCGGCAGGGAGGCCCTCCCAGAGGAATTCCTCTGGGCGGTTGGGGGAGGTGCTGCTCTTCCAGGGGGCGGGGGGTGGGCAGGGGTCTCCGCTGTGGCCCGTCCCAATCCCCACCCTCCTGACACACCCGAGGCACTGTGTCAGGACGCACCTCTGCCTCTGGGCTCCCCTCTCTGAGGCCAGGCCCACCCCAATGGTGCTTGGTGCCCAGGAGGAGGAAGAGCGAGACGAGAGTGGCTGTGAGGAGGAGGAAGGGCGCGAGGATGAAGATGAGGACTCGGGCAGTGACGAGAGCCTGGTGGACTCGGACTCAGACCCCGAGGAGAAGGGTGTGTGGGCCTGGGCTGCGGGCTGCGGGGGTGGGCTGCCTGGGGGTGGCTCGGGCCCTGCTAGAGGTCTCTAAGATAATGGTGTCCAGGCCCCAGAACTCCCAGACATGAAACAAACGGCCACAGCAGTCATGATGGTGATGACGGCAAAGCCTTCCCGGTCATTCATAGGTGCCAGGCCCTGGGCTCACCCTAACCCTTTGCATGGGTTGGTTCTTTCAGTCTTTACTGCAACTGTGTGCATAGGTGTGGTGAGCGTCCCTATATTACGACCGAGGAACAGCTCACAGGGGATTAGTGAGCTTCCCAGTGCGGTCCATGCAGAGCGAATGGGCACATTGGCCTGACTGCACAAAGCCCTCTCCTCTAAATGGAGACGCTGCCCCTTAAGCCCTGCCTGCTGCCAGCGCTGGCCCTGGGCGTGCAAAGTGCTCTTAGTCGCCCTACCTCCCTCCACCCAAGCTGGTCCCATGTCATCTACAACAGGTGAATGTTGGCCTCGGGCATGGCTGGGCTGGGAAGGATGTGTAGATCCCCCGCCAGCTCCTGAGCCCCGCCTTGTCTGTCTGGGACTGCTCTTTCCATGCGTTGCCCCTTCTGGCTGCATTCTACCTGTGTTGGGATTTATCATTTTGCCCAGCCTCTGGTCACTGATCGGTCATGGCTGACCAAAGGAGAGTCCCAGCGCCCAGGACTGGCGCATCTGCCCCCCATTTTGCCCCTCGCCCTGTTGCGGGGCTGAGCCTGGCTGTGTCCCCGTAGAGGTGAACTTCCAGGCGGACCTGGCCGACCTGACGTGCGAGATCGAGATCAAGCAGAAGCTCATCGACGAGCTGGAGAACAGCCAGCGACGGCTACAGACGCTCAAGCACCAGTATGAGGAAAAGCTGATTCTGCTGCAGAACAAGATCCGGGACACGCAGCTGGAGCGAGACCGCGTGCTGCAGAACCTCAGTAAGGCCAGCGCCACGCCCCCCACCACGTCCGTTCCCTCCCTTTCCTGTGAGCCCCTCCTCTGTCAACAGCAGCTGGCCTGTTGGGGTTATCCTGGCCTTCTAGGCAAGGGACTTGCGAATCTAGTTCCTACGAAACAAATGATTTTTTTTTTTTTCTATCATGTCACATATTAGGATTCTCTCTCTCTCTCTCTCTCTTTTTTTTTTTTTGTCTGTCACCCAGTCTGGAGTGCAGTGGCACAATCTTGGCTCACTGCAACCTCTGCCTCCTGGGTTCAAGTGATTCTCCTGCCTCAGCCTCCTGAGTAGCTGGGACTACCAGCATGTGCCACCACACCTGGCTAATTTTTGTATTTTTTAGTAGAAACGGGGGTTTCACCACGTTGGCCAGGATGGTCTCAAACTCCTGACCTCATGATCCACCTGCCTTGGCCTCCCAAAGTGCTGGGATTACAAGTGTGAGCCGCTGTGTCCAGCCAGGATTCTTTGTATACCTAGGCACTTGAACGTGACACTCCCAGCCTTACCTCCTGCATTCAGTTCCTTGAGTCTTTTCCTTTGGACCTGTTTATAAACCTTCTCCCATTCTACCTTCCTCATGCTGCTCTTCATCCCATTCATTCCATTTTTTATTTATTCATTCATTGATTTACTTACTCGACAATCACATGTTGAATATGTCTGATAGAGCAGACATTGTTCTATAGCATGTTCAATGACAATAAGCATGAAAAAAATATAGCCAGGAAGGGGAACAGGAACTGCTGAGGAGCGAGTTGGTGTTTTTAAAAGATGGTCGTGGAAGACTTCACTGGGAAGGTAACTTCTGAGCAAAGACTTGCAGAAGGCGAGAGTGCTAGAGCCGAAGCAGCCAGGGGAAGCGTGTCCCAGGCAGAGGGAACAGAAGATGCCAAGGCCATAAAGCTGCCATGTGCCTGGCATGTTGGCAGAATGATGAGGGGCCCAGGATGGCTGGAGCACAGCAAGAGGGGACAGGCCAGAGAAGACACGTGGGGCCACATCATGTCATTTTACTCTGAGGGAGTACATTGCCTTATACTCTGAGGGAGATGGGATGTGTGTCGTTTCAAAGAGAGCTATGTGATGCAAAATGTCAAAGCGTTTTTGAAAGATGACTCTGGCTGCTGCATGGGGGGATGAAAGTGGAAGCTGGAGACCACTTAGGAACTGGTTACAAAGACCCCAGGAGAGGTGGTAAGGAGAAGTCAGACTTTGGGTGTATTTTGCCGGTTGAGGCAGAAGGCTTTGCTGATTGCTGGGAGGTGTCTGTGAGGGAGAGGGGAGCCAGGGACGCCTCAGGGTGTGAGCTTCTGGAAGGAGGTGATGCTGTGTACTGAGGTGGGGCAGGGGTGGGAATGAGGCATTGGGTTTTGTACCTGTAAGTTGGATGTCTGTCAGATGTCTGTCCTCAGGAAGGAGAGGGTAAGGGTGGAGAATCAGCTTACTCCTTCTGCGCTGGCCCACACCACTCTGTCTTCTCTTGCCAACTCTTTCCTCTTCCCACGGGCCCCAGCCCTTTCCTCCAATACTGGATCATGGGTCAGAACCAGCCAGCATGAGTGAGCTACAGGACACTCGTGGGAAGCTGGGGACCAGGAGCTCGGAGATCTTGACACAAAAACACCCCTGCACATTCCAATAGGATGTCAGAGCGGGAAGGGGCCTTGAGCATCACCTAGTCGGACCCCCTCATTCAAATGAGGCCACAGGCTCCGAGACGGGTGTGACTTGCCCGAGGTCATGCAGTGAGACTGGAACAGAGGCTCCTGCGTTCCTCCTTGATGACCCTGTGTTTAGTGGGAGCCCTTGGGGACCCAGCACGGACAGCTGCCTCTGGTTGCTCTCAGGCACCATGGAGTGCTACACGGAGGAGAAGGCCAACAAGATCAAGGCAGACTACGAGAAGAGGCTGCGGGAGATGAACCGGGACCTGCAGAAGCTGCAGGCCGCCCAGAAGGAGCACGCCCGGCTGCTCAAGAACCAGTCACGCTACGAGAGGGAGCTGAAGAAGCTACAGGCCGAGGTGGCTGAGATGAAGAAGGCCAAGGTAGGGGCTGAGGGTGTGACGAGTGTGGCCTGGAGTGCATGTGACCTCGGAATCCACTCACCGTGGTTGAAATAATCATTGCCGTCAAGTGTGGATTCTCTTCTCGACACATAGCATTGCCTAGTTTCACCCCGGCTTGGCCCTGGATATGGTCCTCTTAGCTGAGAGCATCGTCCAAGGTGAAACAACCCACCCCGTAGTGGGGCCAGTGTGCAGAGGTGGGGGCGGTGTGGGGTCGTGTTCAGGCAGGTGAGGATCTCAGGGGACCCCACTCGGTGCTGCCTCCTTGGGGGAGGCTGCAGCACACTTGCTTCGGGTCTGCCCAAAGCGCACACGAGTCCCCTCATGTGGGGCACCCCTGGCCTCGAATGATAATAGTAACAGTTACCATCATTTGAACATTTACTATGGCTGGGCTCCACGCGCGTGATCACATTCAGTCCCTAGAAGAACCTCATGAAGGAAGTCCTCTCATTCTTCCTTTATGTATGAGAAAGTGAGGCCCGGAGAAGTCAATTCCAGCTCCCAAGCCATAGCACTGGGATTTGAACTTGGTTCTCTGCCTCCTAACCACCACGTGTTCTGGGTGGCACAAGGCCTCCCTTTTCAACTTTGCCACCACTCAGAGTGCTGTAGTCTCTGGGGCCCGGGGTTGGCCCCTGCGCTTCTGGCTTCGGGGACCCAGGTCTTGTGTTTCGGTGTCTGGTGTGTTCTGGCTCCCCCCTGGGGCTCAGCAGATCCCTGCTCCCTTTCAGTCCTCCCTCCCCCTGGGCCCTCCCAGTCTTGCATTCTTGCCTGCTCTGACTCTCAGCCATCAGTGGAGCCCAGCTCTCCACAGCCCTGGGCGAGGCCCTGGGCACTGGTGGCAGCCCCAGCGTGCTGTGAAGGACTGGCCTTGGGGACAGAGATGTCGGAAAGGGGTGCTCCCCAGTGCTTGGGGCTGATGGGGCATCTAGGAGCCATTGGTAGCTACACCCTAACGGCTGACTCTGTGTGCAGAGGAGAGAGGCAGTGCAGTGAGGTCCATTCTGAGAAGAGGCAGACCCACAGCTGTCGTTGAGGCCCAGCCACCTCACCTGGGCAGGCTATGTCCCCAAGCTTGGGCTGCAGGCCCAAAAGCTTCATAAACCTGACCAGAGTAGAGAAGGCCCTGCCTTGCTGTGCTCAGACCTGCCTGGCCTGGGCTGGTCCCAGAGAGCCCATTTTTACCATCTCCGTCAGTGCATCCACCCTGTGGGGAATTGAGACTCAAATACCCAGATCACCAGGGCCCCAGGTACCCGCTGATGGTTTAGAGGGAGGGACAGATGGGCCTTGGTTATCCCCGGGGTGGAGCAGCACTCCCGCCAGGGGCCTGCACGGTCTGCAGCAGCTTCTGTAGCACTTTTGGGTGCACCTGTATGCATCCCCACTCTGTCTTCTGAGGGTTTCCAGCTGATACCTCTGCAGGGTATCCCAGGGTATCCTGTCCTGGCCAGCTCACATCTCCGCTGCAGAGGCCCTGTAGAGCCTCGTGAGGGAAGATCCCTATGGCTCTGAAGCCTGACAGATAATATAATGCCAAGATGCATCTGACAGACAGAAGGCTCATATGTAGACCTGTGTTTCCGTCTCCGGATTGCTGAGCTCCTTCAGCCAGGTGCCCGGCTCTGTCCACGTGACTTTGCTCTTACGAACCCAGAGCTAGAAGCAGAAAGGAACACCCTTGGGTCATCCCAGGAGGGGCCCAGGTTTTCTGTTGGAGGGACAGAGTGTGCAGCAGCCGAGGGTTCAAACCAGAAGCCGTGAGAGCCAGTGCCTGCCCCAGAGTCCTCCCATGGCTGTTCAGCTAGCTGCAGGGCCCCAGCGATTCACAGAATGGAACCGGGGTGGGGCCTGCAGCTACAGGGCCTCCCAGGGAGAGGCCACAGTGCCTTCCACCTTAAACCTGCAGAGAATGCTGGTCTGGGGCACCATGGCCTGTCGTGTGCCTGGAATGTGCTCATCTGTTCTGAGACTTTTGCCTCTGTGGTAGCCACCATGGAGCTTGACCACACATGCAAAATCAAGTGGATGAATCTTTGACCAGGAAGACATAGCACCTCCCCAGGAAGCCTTAAGCCCCTGACCCCGGAAGATACGTGACACCTTGGGTTTGCACACAGCTCCTGGGATGCTGGAGTTTTCAGGTCCACTTTTAGCCAAGGGTCTGACTTGTTCTTCTAGTCCTTTCGGAGAACACTCATTCTGGACTCCAAAGCCCCAGCAGCAAGCAATCCCTCCTCTTCTCTGCATATCCACCCCAACAGACCGTGCCTGCCCTCCTACCCTCTCAGAGAGAAGCCAGCCCTGCTAGCCATTAGCCCTGCTTTCTCATGCCATTTCCTCTTGCTTTTTCTTTCTTTCTTTCTTTCTTTGTTTTTTTTAAAAAAAGGCAGTCTCGCTGTTGCCCTGGCTGGAGTGCAGTGGCATTAACATAGCTCATTGCAGCCCCAGCCTCCTGGACTTAAGCAGTCCTCCCACCTTAGCCTCCTGAGTAGCTGGGACTGTGGGCACACGCCACCATACTGGGCTAGTTTTTGTATTGTTTTCGGTGGAGACAGAGTCTCACTGTGTTGCCCAGACTGATCTTGAACTCCTAGAATCAAGCAGTCCTTCCACCTCGGCCTCCAAAGTGCTTGTGCTGGGATTACAGGTGTGAGCCACTGCATTCGGCCTGTTTCCTTTCTCGACTGTTCTGAGGGCAGGGCAGATGGTGGCATTCCTGGTGGTGTCCGAGGGTTCAGTGGCAGCGGAAAGATTGACTGCCATGTGTTTCTCATGCCCCTGTCACTCGGAAGGTGTCCAAAACCCTGTATACATTATACTTCTATGTTCTGGGCTCCAGGAATAGGGAGCAGATGCCGCAGGGCCCCAGGTCAGTGGCTCCCCAGCACATTGGGTCACCCCTGGCCACACTAATGGTGCTCTCTGTGCCTCTGGCTACATTTCCAACAACTCTGGCGTCCCTAGCACTTAGTCCCTAGCTTTGCTGACCTCTCACAGAGCCATCCCTGGGACTGCAGGAAAAGCCAGATTGGGAGGCAATGATTTGTTATCGGAATACGGCCATCCATTGCTAGTTTTATGACCGTAAGTCCCTTTGTCTCTCTGAGGCTCATTTCCTTGTTTATAAAACAGGAACGATAATGCCTCTCTCATGATTGTCATGAGGAGGGTGCCTGGCATGCAGCCAGATCTCAGTAAATAATGGTGGTTTTTATTTCTGTCACTGTGAGCCTGGCCATGGGGGCCCTGACCTTTACTTCAGCCCTGACTACAGCTCAGCCTCCAGGAGGGGAGAGGATTACCTGCCTCCAGCAACCCAGGCCGGTTCTGGAATGGCCAGACAGAGGACAGTAGCTGTGGGTGAGGGCCACCAGGGGCTGTGGCATTCTGAGCAGCGAGGGCCACAGTTGGGCCCTGCAGATTGGGGTACCTGCACTGCCGGGCTGGCTGTGAGGCCACTCCTTTTGGCAGGTCGCCCAGGTGGCTTCAGCTCCTGTGGAGGAGTGGGAGGTGGAACCCCTCGCTTCAGAACCCCGGCCCTGAGCCAGTGTTGCCTGGCTCACCCCTATCCATGCCCCTGTCCTCAGAGCGGGCCCCTCCCTGGAGAGTGTGGGCAGCTGCTTCCCAGCCCTGTCTCAGCACCAGCACCTCTGTCCATCCCAGGTGGCCCTGATGAAGCAGATGCGTGAGGAGCAGCAGCGGCGGCGGCTGGTGGAGACCAAGAGGAACCGGGAGATCGCGCAGCTCAAGAAGGAGCAGCGGCGACAGGAGGTGAGGGGTGGCCCTTTGGCCTCCCGGGAGCCTTTGGCCCTGGCTCTCCCAGCCTCCTGGTGAGGCTGGTTGCCCCTCGGGACCAAGCAGGCCTCAGTCTCCACTGTCCTAAGTGGTAATGGTCGTGCTTGGAGGACAGTGCTGCCTGTCAGAGGAGGACCAGACCCTGCGGCTTCTGGCCCAGCCCCCACCTGTTAAGAGGAGGGACTTGAGCCCTGGAGAGGGGGAAGGAGCTTGCCCAAGGTGACCAGCAAGCCAGACGTGTGCAGCTTCAGGCCCTGCAGAGAAGCCCAGTGGGGCTGAGCCCTCCGGGCCAGAATTCCTCCCCACTGGAGCAAAGAAGAGGCTGCGGAAATTGCCCTTGTGGAGAAAGAGGACTTCACTGCAACCTCCAGGGAGGGCAGCCCGACTCTGGGTCCCACTTTATCAAGAGTTTGGCTACATGAAAATTACCCTGAAGCCCAGGCTTTTAACTACAGAGCTGGCCAGCCCGTGTACAGACAGAGGGGGCCAAGGTGCCTGAGGGTGGACCCTAGCCCTCTTCTGTCTCCCACAGTTTCAGATCCGAGCTCTGGAGTCCCAGAAGCGGCAGCAGGAGATGGTCCTAAGGAGGAAGACCCAGGAGGTGAGCTTACTCGTGGGCTAGTGAGGCCCTGCTCCTGCTGCACGTGTGTGCGTGTGTGCGCGCGTGTGTGCGCGCATGTGTGCGCGTGTGTGCGCGCATGTGTACATTGCCTGCTCTCTTTTCTGGGCCTCCAGCTTCCTGGCAGTGGAATAAAGGTGGTATTTCCCAGTTCTGCCAGAGCGGGCAGGGAGGGGAAGCCAGCCCTGCCTGTGACCCTGGCTCTCCCTCCTTCCATTCAGCAGGCATAGTCGGTGTCCAGATTGTGTCCAGCCTATTAGGTGGGCTTTTCTCAACAAGAGCTCAGGCTGCAGGGCAGACTGCAGGCTCCGTTCCCAAATGCCTGAGCTGTGCATTAAAAAAAAAAAAGAAGGTGGCAGCCTCTTTTGTGTTCATGTCATATCACACAGAGACCCCTTGGCCCTTTTGCAGCCCAAGCCAGGGCCAGCACAGAGCAGCCTCTGTGTTCTTGCTGCCTGGCACCCTAACTTGGGCCCTTCTGTGTGGCTCCAGACCACCCTGCTCACCAGCTCCCTCTTGTCTCCCCGCTGCCCCAGGTTTCTGCACTGAGGCGCCTGGCCAAGCCCATGTCTGAGCGGGTGGCAGGGCGTGCAGGACTGAAGCCGCCCATGTTGGACTCTGGGGCTGAGGTGTCAGCCAGCACCACCTCATCGGAGGCTGAATCAGGGGCCCGCTCTGTCTCCAGCATCGTGCGCCAGTGGAACCGCAAAATCAACCACTTCTTGGGGGACCACCCTGCGCCTAGTGTCAATGGCACCCGTCCTGCCCGGTAAGGTGGACTGGCAGTACCCTGGTCTGTGCAGGCAGAGGGGGTGAGAATATGGGGCAGGACCAGGGTGAGGGAGAGAGGAGCTCTGGAGAGTGCTCCGGGTTCCCACGATTGTCAACTCCAGGGAGGGAGCTCAGTGGAGCTGCAGAGGTTAAAAGGAGTCCCATCCAATCCCCTTTGCCTGTGTCTTCCAGAAAGAAGTTCCAGAAGAAGGGGGCCAGCCAGAGCTTCAGTAAGGCCGCAAGGCTCAAGTGGCAGTCCCTAGAGCGGCGGATCATTGACATCGTCATGCAGAGAATGACCATTGTCAACCTGGAGGCCGACATGGAGCGGCTCATCAAGGTGAACCCTCCTCCCGCTTCTCTCCCATCCCACCGTCTGCCTGTCCTCTGTCACCTCCAACTTCTCTGGCTCTTCAGACCTTTCCCCGTTCCCCACTCCCTCTGCTCATTGTGCCTGGAATCCAGAGGTGCTGGGGGAACCTCACAGACCAGCCTGTGGTGGAAGCTGTGGGCAGGGCTGGGCAGCTACCTGAGACCACTCCTCCATCGCAATCGTCTCCTGACCCCAGAAAAGGGAGGAGCTGTTCCTCCTGCAGGAGGCGCTGCGGAGGAAGCGGGAGCGGCTGCAGGCTGAGAGCCCGGAGGAGGAGAAGGGGCTGCAGGAGCTGGCCGAGGAGATCGAGGTGCTGGCAGCCAACATCGACTACATCAACGACAGCATCACCGACTGCCAGGCCACCATCGTGCAGCTGGAGGAGACCAAGGTGTCCGCAGAGCTGGGCCTGGTCGGCGGAGGTGGGTGGGGTGGTAGCAGGGGCAGCCCCAGGTGACGGGGCTCTCTGCCTCCCGGTCCTAGGAGGAGCTGGACTCCACAGACACATCCGTGGTCATCAGCTCCTGCTCCCTGGCCGAAGCCCGCCTCCTGCTAGACAACTTCCTCAAGGCATCCATTGACAAGGTAAGCTGGGAGCCCCACGGGCACAGATGCCCACGACATACCCTAGTGTGAAGCCCAGGGGCCCGGCTCCTCCTCACCTGCATCACTCACAGGCTGGGACAAGCCGCCCAACCTCCGCACCTCCCACACCACAGCTGTATACCAGGCTTGTAGCTTGTGGCTCGGCTTGAACGAGATGCCATGTGGGGGGGGCGTGGCCTGGCACCTGACACACAGCAGAGCCTCCTTTAGAGTTGACCTTGGGTGTCTGGCGCAGGCCTGTTCAAAGCAGTGCTGGGCTTGGTTCCGTTGGAGGTAGAGGGAAAAGTGTGTGTATGTGGGGGCAGGAGAAGGACGGACAGACAGACCACAGCCGCCCGGGGGGCTCACAGCAGAGCGTCAGGTGTTCCTTGGCGTTTCTTGGGCCCCTCTCCTCTCCTTGACAAGAGAGCTACCCAGAGGATGTGTCTCCTTCCCTCCTGGGGCCTGTGGTCTCTGGGGACAGGCCCTACGTGGGGTGCATCCGTGTAAGTCTAGAAGGAGGTGGGAGACTCTGTCACCTGACCCCTCTCCCCAGCTCCACTGAGTTTCTTCGAGCTCTGCTTTGTGTCTGGGGACTCTATGAGTTTGCCAGCGCTGCCATAACGAAGTACCGGTCTGGGAGCCTCAAACAAGAGGTTTCTCACGGTTCTCGAGGGCGGGAAGTCCAAGGTCAAGGTGTTGGCAGGGATGGTTTCTTCCGGGGCCTGTCTTCTTCTCCCTGCATCCCACGTGGTCTTCGCTCTGTTCCTGTCTGTGTCCGAATCTCCCCTTCTTTTGAGTGAGGATGTCGTATTGAAGTAGGGCCCACCGGTATGACCCCAGTCACCTCTGTAAAGGCCCCATCTGCAAATAGTCATATTCTGAGGTAATGGGGTTAGGGCTTCGAATATGAGTTTTGGGGGACATAACCTGGCCCATAATAGGGTGTGTCCTGAGGTGAGCTTCCCTGATGTTTGTATGTGGGAGCTAAGGGGGCTGGGAGTTCTCTCAGGTGTGTGCCAGGTACAAGGGTGATGCTGGGAGCTGGAAGGGAGCCCTCCAAGGTATCTTGAGGGGTAGAGGTTATGCGATATGGAGAACCCCGAACCCCAGGCCAGGAGGGGTCACTCCAGGCTTTGTTCCCTGACCCCAGGGGCTACAAGTGGCACAGAAGGAAGCCCAGATCCGGCTGCTGGAGGGCCGACTGAGGCAGACAGACATGGCGGGGTCCTCCCAGAACCATCTGCTCCTGGATGCCCTGCGTGAGAAGGCCGAGGCACACCCCGAGCTGCAGGCCCTCATCTACAACGTGCAGCAGGGTATGGGTGGGGGCGGGCGGAAGTGCCAGCTCCTAGGTACTCCAGTGCTCTTGGGCTCGGACCCCCAGGAGGCCCTCACTTCCCCAGAACCGCCCCCAGCCCCTACTAGGAGCCCCGGTCTGATTGCAGTGGGTGACATGCAGGAGGGAGACCATCTTCCCTCCCCAACTCTTGAACGGGGCCTCTCACCCTCTTTCCCTCCCTCCTTCCTTCCCACAGAAAACGGCTATGCCAGCACAGATGAGGAGATCTCAGAGTTCTCTGAGGGGAGGTGAGTTTGCGAGCTGGGAGTGAGAGGCTGGCTCACAGCAGGTACCCGGAACCGATGGGAGGAGTTGGTTGCCGTAGGTCCCAGGGCTGAAGCTCCTGAACTCTCTCTTCTTCTTCCCCAGCTTCTCCCAGTCATTCACCATGAAGGGCTCCACCAGCCATGATGATTTCAAGTTCAAGGTGAGCCCCACCGGCAGGCAGGCAGGCAGTGCATGCGGCAGGGCCAGCCTCCCCACAGCCCGTTTCCGGCTTGCTGTGGCACGGCTCCACCCTCAGCCACAACCCAAGATTGTCCCCAGCTGGGTTGGAGATGCCAAGAAAATTTAGCCTGGAATTAGGGGTTGTTCAGATATGTAACTTGCTACGGCCCATTGCTTCTGAGGTGGGTGGAAGGAGGGGGAAGTGGCTGGAGTCACCGCTAGCCTCTGTTGCCACCCTGCTAGCAACAGCACCGTAACCAGGGTGCCTGCATTCAAAAACATCACCTCCCCCCACCCCCCAACGATTCTGCCTCACACCCTGGGTCAAAACCTAACTCGAAATGTCTGGTTACCTTACATACGCACAGTTGATTCAACCATAGGAGAATCGGCAATGAGGAAGTTTACCTAACATCAAGGGATCAGTTTCACTAGACTGAACCAAGACGCAGGGCTTAGTAAGGAGACGCGGAGGGAGAAAACGACAGACTGGGAATAGCAAACTACGCATGGTTTTGGGGTAAACTGATGAGCTGGTGAGCAGCAGAGAAGTCAGGCTGGGCATTCTGTGTTTATGTAGTCCAGCTAAGGGCAGTGAAACAATTTCAGTTGCTCTGGGTGCTCCAGAAACCCTGAGAGTTTCGCCGCAGAGCACAGGTGATGTCTGTCTGGGCCCTTCCATCAGGTCCTCTACCTTAGGCCAAGATAGCACCATTTCTCGTTAGAATTTCTGGGCGGGCCGGGTGCAGCGGCTCACCCTGTCATCCCGGCACTTTGGGAGTCTAAGGCAAGAGGATTTTGTGAGCCCAGGATTTCAAGACTAGCCTGGACAACATGGCGAGACCCCATCTCTACAGAAAAAAATTTTAAACTGGCCCGGTGTGGTGGCACGTGCCTGTAGTCTCAGCTGCCGGGGAGGCCAAGGTTGGGGGATCACATGAGCCTGGGAAGTTGAGGCCGCAGTGACCCATTTTGCACCACTGCACTCCACTTTTTTTAAGGCCCTGTCTCAAAAAAAAAAAAAAAAAAAGTAGGATTTCCCCTGGCTTCCCTTTATGTGCCATGCCATTTGGGCAACTGGATCCGCTGTGTTCTTTCTTTCCCAGAGCGAGCCCAAGCTGTCTGCCCAAATGAAAGCTGTGTCGGCCGAGTGCCTGGGGCCCCCACTGGATATCTCCACCAAGAACATCACCAAGTCCCTGGCCTCCCTTGTTGAGATCAAGGAGGACAGCGTGGGCTTCTCCGTCCGAGACCCCTATTACCGGGACAAGGTCTCTCGCACTGTCAGCCTGCCTACCCGGGGCAGCACTTTGTAAGGACGGGAGCAGGAATGTGGATTGGGGTGGGGGTGGAGTTAGGTCTGGGCCTCACTGGACTCTTCTGTTCCAGCCCCAGGCAGTCTCGAGGCACAGAGACGTCCCCACTGACGAGAAGGAAGTCCTACGACCGAGGGCAGCCCATTAGGTGAGAACATGTTCTAGAATCCGCTCTGGAGTCACCACCCAGTCTAGTCCTTGGGTACATGGGAGGCTGTGATGTTCTGCTCTGTACGTTAGCTTGCGCTGTGTAAGGTGAGCCAGCTTGCCTGAGCCATTCGGCTCCACCCAGTGGTCCCGTCCCCAGCCTGTCAGGTGTGGACTCAAGAAATGGGCCAGGCATGATGTAATCCTAGCACTTTGGGAGGCTGAGATGGCCAGATCACTTGAGCCCAGGAGTTTAAGACCAGCCTGGCCAATATGGTGAACCATCATCTCTACTAAAAATACAGAAATTGTCCAGGCATAGTGGCGCATGCTTGTAATCCCGGCTACTCGGGAGACTGAGGCATGAGAATGATTTGAACCTGGGAGGCAGAGATTGCTGTGAGCTGAGATCATGCCACTGCACTGCAGCCTGGGTGACAGAGATTCTGTCTCAGAAAGAAAAAAGAAAAGAAAAAGAAATGTAGTCTCTGTAACAAACTTTAAACCGCGTAGCCGAGCCAGACGCTGGAAACTGCGCTGTGCGCCCAACACAGAGGGCTTTGGAGTGGCTTGGACTGACCATTGCACTGATGTGCTTCGGTCCCTTTTCATGACCATGGGTTCTGGGGAGCTTTCAGGTCTTTTTAAGGCCTTATTGTGTGAGAGGAGATTAGAAATTCCAAAGAAAAAAGAGATCAATGCAGAATGGCAGGGAAGTCCCCAGCTGGTCACGCGCCTGAGGGCCACACCCACAGAGCAAGAGGTTTGGTGGCACGCAGCTAAATAGTGGGAAAGCAAAGGCTCAAGATGGCCTCTTGCCACCTGCCTTGGTGGGAGGCAGGGGGATTGTTTTCTTTTGGGAGATAGGGTCTCACACCATCACCCAGGCTGGAGCGCAGTGGCACGATCAGGGTCCACTGCAGTCTCCGCCTCCCAGGCTCAAGCGATCCTCCCGCCTCAGCCTCTCAAATAGCTGGGACTACAGGCATATACCACCATGCCTGCATAATTATTTTACTTGTGGAGTTGAGGTCTCACCTTGTTGCCCAGGCTGGTCTCGAACTCCTAAGTTCAAGCAATCCTCCCACCAAGGCCTTTCAATTTACTGGGATTACAGGCGTGAGCCACCGCACCTGGCCACAAGTACATTTTAATGAATAGGTGACTTCCCAAATATGGAATCTGTGAATGATGAGGATCGATGCTTAAAGACAGCATCCCGGAGCTTAGCTGGGGGTTGAGCTCTGAGAATACTGCACAGCCGGCCCTGCCCTGCGGGCCTCACAGCCCTGACAGAAGGTGGAAGCCCAGCACCAAGTGGGGGCCTGTGGGCAGGGATGGTCACTAACAGGCTGCCCTCCGTCCCGACTCACCAGGTCCACAGATGTGGGATTCACACCCCCGTCGTCCCCTCCCACTCGGCCCCGCAACGACCGCAATGTCTTCTCTCGTCTCACCAGTAATCAGAGCCAGGGGTCAGCGCTGGACAAGTAAGCAGGGCAGAGGGGCGAGGAGGGAGAGCGCCGAGGTGGCAGTGGGGAGCGCATAGACACTACTCGCTGGAGGAGGGCTCAGGCGGCCAGGCCGACCCCAGCCCGAAGTGCCAGCCCTCCCAGAGAAATGCCCTGATGCCCTCTCCTGGCGTTTCTCTCCTTCCTGTACTGACCGGGAGCCGTTCTCCTCCCCTCAGCGTGCTGGGCCCTCAGGAGAGGGCAAGAAGGAGGCCGCAGGGATTGGGGCCGGGCAGTTAGGCAGGCTAGCCGCGTGGGGCAGGTGCCCAAGGGCTCTGCAGAGCTGCCCTTGAATCCATCTCTGCTGCTGCTTTGAGTCTGCTCTGAAGCCCTTCCTTCAGCTTCAGCCACTCCACTCTGTGCACTCTCCCAGCAGAAAGAGACCAGACCAGACCAGACCCCCCAGACGCCTTCCTGAGGCAGGCGCAGGCCCCGCTGTATTCACAGCTCCTGATACAAGGCTCTGATGACTAACGCTGTGGTCTGTGTCAGCCGCCGCTGCATCCAGAAGGCGCTCGCCCTGTGCCTTACAACCCGCTTTTATATATGTGACTTCATTAGGCTAAGAAACAACCACGCGAATTGTCTTCCCTATTTCACACGAGAGGAAACGAGGCTCAATGAGGGAGCCAGGGACGTTCACCTAGAAAGTGGCAGGATGGCACCCACAGCCCGGGACTTCCAGCTCCTGCCTGCTGTGCCTCAGGACAGGGGAGGACCATTCTCCATGTCCTGCTCCGGGCTTTCCAGCATTGCTGGGCCTACCCTGGCCGTGATTTGCTCTCTGCAGCCCCCAAGAGGGCTCCTCTCTTAGTTTCCTGAAAGCTTCCCTACCCCAGGGTGGCAGTTCTGTGTCCTTCAGGGGAGCCTCAGACTAGAAAATACTTGTCCTTGTACCTAGTGCCTGACGTTCACCCCCCCCCCTCCACAGAAATGCCCCTTCTGGGGTCAAAATACTACTCCATGAATGCCGAGCCCAGGAGGCAGAGCCCTGCAGACCTGGCACCCTGGACACCTCCTTCTCCAAACCTATCTGGTTCAGGCTGCTGTAGGGGGAGCCAGGGACCACTCCTAGCCCATCTCCATGTTGTTAGAATCAGCAGATCCCCGTTTTGGAAGGATTGGGGTAGGACTGCCCTTCCCAGCCTGGTGGTCTTCTGGAAGCCTTGGTCTTGTCCGGTGGTCCAGGGCTTAGAGCCTATGCATGATGCAGAGCCAACTTCTAGGCACTGCCCAGTGGGCCCCCGGGGGACAGTGGGCTTTCTAAATAAGTGAGCCCCTGAGGAATTGCTGGAAGAAGCCAGCTCCCAGGGAGGGGTAGGATCAGGCATGGCTTCCTTCAGCCTTGGGCAGGTATGAGCATTGCTGGGGTGGGGCAGGTGCCCCCAGCTTATGCAGTGGGGCAGCCAGAGAGCTTGGAACCAGGAAACAGCCCCGGAACCGTCTCCCCACGTGTGGGGCTGGTGCTCCCACGTCTCCCCATGGCCCCCTCCTCGCTCCTCCCCTGCCAGCCAAGAGACCCTGGTGGCCCACTCCTGGGGGAGAGTCCCAGGCCCCAGGCCGGTCCACCCCGCCTCCTCCCCCGCTCTCCCGAGGCCCTCACTCCTCTGCCTCTCTCCGCTCCCCTGGAAGAGAATAACCTGCCCTCTGACCTCCCCACGCTGCTGCCGCCTCTGCGTCCCTCTGTGTGCGTCTCCTCTCACCCCCTAATCCAGCTAATTTTCTGCCCTCCCCAGGTCTGATGACAGCGACTCCTCTTTGTCGGAGGTCCTGAGGTACACACAGAACGTCTCTCGTGTTGGCTCCCACTCTTGCTCTCGGCACCCTCTCTTCTCTGCCTCTCGCAGCACCCCTCCCGCCTGACACCCATGTCCTCAGCATGCAGCCCCTCCGCTCCCCTCCCCGCCGCCCCCTCTCCAGACCTGTCCCTGTCCCCACCCCCATGGTTCCTCCCTCTCAGGGCGGCCACAAGGCCTTGGACTGCGCCGGCTGGAGCTGGGGGCTTGGGGAGGGCGCACAGTTGCTTGTCGCAAGCCCTATTCTCTTCTCCCTCCTCACCGGGGCAGGGAGGGGGTGCAGCATGGAGGCTGGGGGAGGCTGGGCCGGGCTGAGTGCTCCGCGACTGGAAGGCAGGGGGAATGCTAGGGCCGCTCCTTTCGCGAGTGCCGGCGGTGTGCTCTGCGTCCTTTGATTACCTCAGCTTGTGCTGGGGGTGAGCTCTTCAGACATTGGCTCTGGGAGGGGCATCAAGGGGGCAGCGCCCCTTGCCCACACCCCTTGGTGCGCACAGATGTGCAGGTACCTCCCCTCCCTGCAGCCTGTGGGTTGGCTGGAGGCCAGTTCTCTTAGCCGGCCCAGCACAACACCCCACAATGAGGAGCAAGACTCAGGACCTGGGGCCTGAGCCCCTGGCAAGCCGGGGACCCCTCATGGGCTGAGAGCTTCCTCGGCTCTCCTGGCGGGCTGTCTCCGCTCCTTGAGCCTCCAGCCCTGGGTGTTGACATCAGGTTGACTGCGGGTCATGAGGCTTTGCCACCGCAAGACGTTAGCCAGCTGGCCAGGCTGTCAGCAGGGGGAGCGCCGTCCCTTTGACGCAGTTCCATGGCCATGCAGTGAGGCCAAACCAGGGTCAGAACGGGGCACTGGGGCAGCTTGGGGAGCTGTTTGTGCATGTGTGGCACCCAGCTGGCAGCTAGACGTATCCGACCACCATCTTCAAGGGCGGGCCTGGCAGAGTCGGCGGGAGCTGTGTGCGAAGCGCCGCGGGCAGAGCCGTGATCGTTTCAGTAGATCCTTAGCCACAGAGTCACTGTCAGGAGCAGCGTTCTCTGGGGTAAAAACAGCTGGGATATATTTTCAGACATATATTTCTGAAAATGAGCCAGGGTCTCATCCCAGAGGTCCCTCACTGAGAAAAAAATCATCCTCAGAACTTCAGGGAGCTGGATGTGGCAAAATCTTCACGCCACGCCAGCCTCATTCCTGCTCCCCCAGTATCAGGGGAGCAAGGAGGTGCCGTGCCAGGTCCATACAGGCCCATTCCAGAGAGTTCCAAACCTGCCCTGAAGCCAAGCCAGCTCCTAAGGGATTTAGCCCTTTATAAATTCCAGTCACTGGTTTGTCCCTGTTGGTCCAAAAGGCTCTCTGCTTGGAAGATGCCAGCCCCAGAGGCAGTCACTGGCAGAAGGGCTTATTGGGATCAGGGTGCATGGGGGTGGCGGCCTGAGCACCCCTCCCTCTCTGCAGCCCTCCCTCACACTTGTTCGCTGAAGCAGCATGCAGCTTCTGGTGAGAGCTACAGGGCCCTGTTCCAGTCCCTGGGCCTCTGCCCTGCCCCAGCCGCTGGGCCAGGGTGCGTTCATGTCTCAGGATCGGGTCAGGCAGCGTCAGGCGGGAACTGTGAACAGAGCCCATACCTCCTGCGCCTTCCAGCTGTGCCTCACACAGGGTTTGCTTCCCCAGAAGCGCTCAGAATGGCAGCTGACAGACGGCTGATAAAGACAGGCTGTCTCTACTCTGTAGCCCATTCCCAGCTCTCAGACCTTGGTGGAATTTGGCTGGAGTCCTTGAAGCCTCTGTTATTAGGCTCTCATCCCCTCCCTGCCCTGACCCCGTACCATGCACGTGCCTCCATCAGCCTGGCCACAGTCTCCCTGGCTGACGAGCGTGCCCTCTCTCCCTCTCTCTCGGGAAGGGGCATCATCTCCCCGGTTGGAGGAGCCAAGGGTGCACGGACGGCCCCGCTGCAGTGCGTCTCCATGGCTGAAGGCCACACCAAGCCCATCCTCTGCCTGGATGCTACAGATGAGTTGCTGTTCACAGGGTCCAAAGGTGCGTGGAACCCCAACTAGCGAGGTAGGGTCAGGGTCTCCTGCTCACCCCTGCTTCCGTTATCAGAGTGGTCTGTGAAGGAGATAAAAACATACAGCCCCCAGGAGTTGAGGCCATGGGGGTCAGTTTGCTTGCTGCCCTTGTTTCTTACCTTGGTTCAAGGCCCCCATCCCATGCATTCTTGGCCAGACCTTCCCTCACACCTGACCTGGTGGCTCCATCCAGACCTCCCAGGGAAACTTCAGGAAGCTTCTTAGGTGCCCCGCCTGTGCTTGCACTGCCTGACGTCACCCCAGCTCACACATCTAAGCACTCCCTATCATCTCAACAGCAGCACTCCACAAAGTCACATTCACCCAATTACAACAACGTCAAACATTTTACCAGCAGACAGGCCGGACGTAGTGGCTGAGACCTGTATGTAATTGCAGCACTTTGGGAGGATGAGGCAGGAGAATCACTTGAGCCCAGGAGTTTGAGACTACCTAGGTGGGCAACATAGTGAGACCCTGTCTCTACAAAAACTAAAAAATTAGTCACAGTGACATGGTGACATGGGCCTGTAGCCCCAGCTACTCGGGAGGCTGAGGCGGGAGCATTGAGTCCAGGAGGTCAAGGCTGCCGTGAGCTGTGTTTGCGCGATTGCACTCCAGCCTGGGCAACAGAGCAAGACCCTATCTCAATAAGTAAATATATAAATAAATTATTTATTTACTTTTCATTCATTTGTTCATTCTTTTACCGACAGAAAGAACTAGTCTGTAATAGACACGCATACTAGAAACACAAGCATAAATAGCTCTCTACGGCACTGGGGGATAGCTGTCAATTTAAGTGTGATTGATCGATTCCACGTTTTCCCATAACACGTGCTTGCGCTGGTTCATTTAGCGTGTCAGCAATTAGCGTGTGGAGGAACAGGCACCATAAAGGCTTAAGAATTTTGTTTTAGCCCTGGACGCCTTAGCAGTGTGGCTCACAGAACTCTGGTGTTGGTGGGAAGTGTGATTGAGGAACCCTGGTCTGAAGTTCTTAGAGAATTCTCCCTCCCGAGTTTTTTACGAGCACACATGCATGCCAGTGAGCACACATGTGCATGTTTCTTTCAGACCCGGAGCTCCGTCCTCTGGAGCTCTCTGGATCCCTTTCCCCTACCCTGGCAGCCCCTGCAGAGGCAAGCTACGCCCCTGAGTGGCTGACTTCCCTCCCCTCCCTCTGGCTTCCTCCCATCTCTCGCAGACCGAAGCTGCAAGATGTGGAACTTGGTTACGGGGCAGGAGATCGCGGCTCTAAAGGGCCACCCCAACAACGTGGTCTCCATCAAGTACTGCAGCCACTCAGGGCTTGTGTTCTCCGTGTCCACCTCCTACATCAAGGTGTGGGACATCCGGGACTCGGCCAAGTGCATCCGTACCCTCACGTGAGTACCCGCCGCCTGAGCCACAGTGGTGGGCTGCCGCAGGCCAGGCGGGGTGCAGATGCTCCCAGCCCCTGACCCACTCAGCACAGCACAGCCCGGCTACATGGGCGCAAAAGCCATTCCCAGCCTATGAACTTGGCTTGACCCTGGGGTACGAGGTGAGATCTCTTAGTTTTGGGGGACAGTGTCTGGGGCGGGACCACTCGAGGAGTTTTTGGCCTGCCTGGCCTCCGCCCACTGCCCAGTCCCCCAAACCTTGCCTCTTGAAGTGTGTTAGATATCATGCTACGAGTCTGAAAGGGGAGCTGAGGAAACAGGGCGAGCTCCTAAAGCCGTGCTGGCCACTGCCTGTGTCGGTTACCACCCAGCCAGGGCCCTGAGCCCTGTCCTGACAGCCTCAGACACAGCCACAGGGCAGGGGAGGCAGAACTGCGACCAGGAGCCTCGCAGCACAAGTGGATTTTTAGCGAAAGTCACACTACATTCTCACATGAACATTGTAAGCTACAGCCTACTAATGTGATCCTTAAAAACTAAACGGGCTGGCCGGGCGCAGTGGCTCACACCTGCAATACCAGCACTTTGGGAGGCCAAAGTGGGTGGATCACGAAGTCACGAGTTCGAAACCAGCCTGGCTAACACAGTGAAACCCCATTTCCACTAAAGATACAAAAAATTAGCCACGCATAGTGGCATATGCCTGTAATCCTGGCTACTCGGGAGGCTGAGGCAGGAGAATCGCTTGAATGCGGGAGGCAGAGGTTACAGTGAGCTGTACACTCCCGCCTGGGTGACAGGGCAAGATTCTGTCTCAAAAAAAAAAAAAAAAGTAAACAGGCTGGGTACAGTGGCTCATGCCTAGAATCCCAGGTATTTTGGAGGCCAGAGAAGGAGGATCACTTGAGGCCAGGACTGCAAGACCAGCCTCGGCAACGTAAGGAGACACTCTCTCTACAAAAAAATTTTTTTAATTAACCGAGCATGGTGGTACCTGCCTGTAATCCCAGCTACTCGGAAGACTGAGGTGGGAGGGTTGCTTGAGCCCAGGAGGTTGAGGCTGCAATGAGCCATTTTTGTGCCACTGCACTCCAGTCTGGGCAGCAGAGCAAGACCCTGTCTCAATCAATCTGTCAATCAAGAAAGGAAACGGGATTTTTAGGGCAGTGAAATTTTTCTGTATGATGCTGTAATTGCGGATGCCCATCATTATACATTTGTTCAAACCCACAGAATGTGCAGCACCAAGAATGAACCCGAACGTAAACTGTGGACTTGGGCAATAGCCATGTGTCAGCATGGGTTCCTAATCGAAACAGGCAGCTTTTGGTGGGGAGTGTTGATAATGGGGGAGGCTGTGCCTGTGGGGGGGTTGGGCACACGAGGAATCTCTGTGTCTTATACTGTTTTGCTGGGAGCCTAACACTGGACTAAAAAAAATAAAGTCTTTAAAAAAAAAGTAAACAAGGCCGGGCACAGTGGCTCACATCTGTAATCCCAGCAGTTTAGGAGGCTGAGATTGGCAGATCACCTGAGATCAGGAGTTTGAGACCCCATCTCTACTAAAAACATATAATTAGCTGGGCATAGTGGTGCATGCCTGTAATCCCAGCTACTCGGGAGGCTGAGACAGGAGAATCGCTTGAACCCAGGAGGCGGAGTTTGCAGTGAGCCAAGATCACACCGCTGCACTCCAGCCTGGACAACAAGAGTGAAACTCCATCTCAAATAAAATAAAATAAAATAAACAGAATGGGTATAATCACCTCTTTTAGCTGATGAGGAAACTGAGACTGAGGGAGGTTGATTTCTGGAAGATCCAGGTTCACACCCGGTCTCATGACTGAGCCTTACCATCTTTCCAAGCCAGTGACCAGGCACACAGGCAGGCCTTATGGGGAGTTGACTCACCAGGACTGGAGTGGAGCTCTCCCCTGGGGCTCATTCATAGGAGAAACTGTTGCTCTTCTCTGTCAGTCAACGAAGACTTCCTGGGCTGGGCATGGTGGCCCATGCCTGTAATCCCAGTACTTTGGGAAGCTGAGGCGGGCGGAATGATGAGGTCAGGAGTTCGCGACCAGCCTGACCAACATGGTGAAACCCCGTTTCTACTTAAAATACAAAATTTAGCCAGGCATGGACAGGTGCCTGTAATCCCAGCTATTCAGGAGGCTGAGGCAGGAGAATCACTTGAACCTGGGAGGCACAGGTTGCAGTGAGCCAAGATCGCCCACTGCACTCCAGCCTGGGCAACAGTAAGACAGGGTCTCAGAAAAAAAAAAAAAAAAAAAAAAAAAAAGCCTTCCTGGAAGAAGTGGGTAAGTTGGGCACGTGGGCTGGTCTTAGTGAGGTTTTATGGGTTTCCTGGACTGTGCACATGGATGATTTTGACCTCTGGCCTTGCCTTTCTCCTTCTTGGGCAGGTCTTCGGGCCAGGTGATCTCAGGGGATGCCTGTGCCTCCACGTCCACCCGTGCCATCACCAGCGCCCAGGGGGAGCATCAGATCAACCAGATCGCCCTCAGCCCTTCAGGCACCTATGCTGTACGCCGCCTCGGGCAACGCCGTTCGCATCTGGGAGCTTAGCAGGTCAGCATGATACCTGGGCAAGGAGGAGGGCTTGGCATGCCCAGGCAGGGTTCCCAGGTCTCGGCTTGGGGGGACCCACCTTGGAGCAGATAGGACCTCAGCAACACCTTTACCTGCCATGCTGCTGGGCCTGTGCCCTTCCAGCGAGACTGCTGGCACGCAGGGCAGCTCATGTCTAGATTCATGATCTTGCCTTGAGCAGGAGGGGAGGGTGAGTACCCTGACCAGGTCTGTTTGTTCTGGGGCAGACCCCTCACCCCAACCCAGAGTCCCCTCTAATTCACCTATCCCCAGCTGGGCCTCTTCCCGCTGCAGGTTCCAGCCTGTTGGCAAGCTGACTGGCCACATCGGCCCTGTGATGTGCCTGACGGTCACCCAGACGGCCAGCCAGCATGACCTCGTCGTGACTGGCTCCAAGGACCACTACGTTAAGGTACCTGGGGCTGCTCGGCTCTGAGGCCGGGCGGGGGCTTGTCTTCCACTCTCCCTAGTCTTTGCCCTCTGTCGCCTTGGGGGTACTCATGAAAAATTGTAAGACTTCGGGAGATATCTGCTGAAGAAATCACCCCAAAGGAGGCAAGAATTTGTGTGCAGAAAGTTATAGATGGCAGCATTATTTTGTAACTGGTGAAAAATTCATAGTAACTTAGATGTTGAAGGGTAGAATAACTATCAGACTGAAAATCCACCTAACGGGATACACTGCAGCTATTAAAACAATAAATAACCAAACATGAAGTGTGCAAGCAACATTCGTTTGCTCTCTGATGATGCCACTGAAAACTGTCCAGATGCAGTCAGAAACTGGCAGGAAACCGGCCAGGCGCAGTGGCTGACGCCTGTAATCCCAGCACCTTGGGAGGCCAAGGCGGGAGGATCACTTGAGGTCAGGAGTTTGAGACCAGCCTGGCCAACATGGTGAAACCCTGTCTCTACTAAAATACGAAACATTAGCCAGGCGTGGTGACACATGCCTGTGGTCTCAGCGACTTGGGAGGTTAAGGCAGGAGAATCACGGGCCTGGGAGACAGGGTGCACCGAGCTGAGGTCACGCCACTGTACTCCAGCCTGGACAGCAGAGGGAGACTCCGTCTCCAACAAAAAAGAACAGGAAGGAAGCAGTGTTTTCAGGGGTGGTGGGATTGTGATGAATATTTTACTAAAATACAAAAGAATTCTAGAGGGAGGCTCACACCCCGAACCCAGCCTTTCCCCTTAGCAGCTGCCTGTTCAGCTGTGGGGTCTTGGCATGATGAGCTGATTCACCCCTGCGTGACTTGAGTTGGTCTCCTCCCATCCCTGCCCCAGTGTCCATGGGAAGGGTCATGACCTGAACCTTCAGTGTTCCCAGCCCCTTGGAAGCAGCAGCCCCACCTCCAGAGCCCTCGCCTTCGGGGAAGCGCCTCTCCCCAGAGGGCAGTGGCTGCCACCCTAGCCAGACTCCTGGGTCTTCAGGCCTCTGGGTCCGCAGTGCTGCAGGCCCTGCCTTCCCTCCTCCCTCCTGGCCCCTCCTCCCGCAGCTGTTCGAGCTGGGCGAGTGTGTGACGGGCACCATCAGCCCCACTCACAACTTTGAGCCCCCGCACTACGACGGCATCGAGTGTCTGGCCATCCAGGGAGACATCCTGTTCAGCGGCTCCCGAGATAACGGCATCAAGAAGTGGGACCTGGACCAGCAGGAGCTCATCCAGGTCGGGAGGAGGGGGAGAGGGCAGACTCGGGCAGGGTGGTTCCCGAGCCCGGGCAGGGCCTTGGAGACCCTGGGGCCCGGGCCCGCAGATCCCCAGGCCAGGTGGCTTTCAGAGCTACCCAGGCCCTCCTGTTCTTCGTCTTCCTCCTCTGTCTCCATCCTCCCTTGCCTACCTGATGCCCCATCTCCCCCTCAGGCAGCCTGCTTTCATTCAGAAAAGCCTTTGCTCTCAGCTCTTGGGTTTGAAAGTGAAGCTCAGTTACCCCGTTCCTTTCCTGGGAGCTTCTGTGTTTTAGCCTGACCCATGTGAGGGCTGAAGGTTCTCCACCAGGGCAGGATCTCAGGCTTGAACCTGGAAAGCAGAGCAAAGGGACTCATCTCTGGTCCCCTGAAGCCCACAGCACAGGCCACCCCAGCATGGCTCCTGGAAGCAGTGTCGCCTGCCTATGTGGCAGGTCCACAGGCCGGGGGAGCCTGGCAATAGCTCTACAACTAGCAAGAGGGGCCCCGGGGCAGGTGCTCTCCCTCACAGCCCCCCCGCCCTCACCAGCCCTGATCCTCCCGCAGCAAATCCCCAACGCGCACAAGGACTGGGTGTGTGCCCTGGCCTTCGTCCCAGGCCGCCCCATGCTGCTGAGTGCCTGCCGTGCAGGCGTCATCAAGGTCTGGAACGTGGACAACTTCACGCCCATCGGCGAGATCAAGGGCCACGACAGCCCCATCAATGCCATCTGCACCAATGCCAAGCACATCTTCACAGCCTCCAGGTGGGTGCTGGACAGAGAGGCCTGCCTCTGCTCCCCTCATCTCCTGGTGTGGGCAGGGGAGGCTGGGAGGCTCGGGGCCCTGCAGCTGTCCCCGCAGGCTCAGTTCACAGAGCAGATTCCACGGTGGCCTCGTCTGCATATCTAGCCCGTACCAGCCTTCACTGGATGCCCACCATGTGCTGGGCGCTGTGCTAGGCAGGGGAGGAGGAAGGTACTGGGCCCCGGGCCAGGCCTTGCCCGCTCGTCTCCAAGCCTTTCATGCCCTCCCACCTGCCCTGGCTGTCTTCCTGGTCCAGGTATCTCTCAGAGCACAGAGCAGCCCTGCCAGCCCTCAGACCAGGCTCTTACACCCCCAGCTCGCCCCCTGCGTGGGGAGCACCAGGCCCTCTGTCCCATGGGGTGCTACTCAGACGGCTTTCTTTCTCGTTCCGACTTTTTCCCTTCTCTCCCTTCCCCTTCTTATCCCCTCCTGCCTCCCCCTCTGTCCTCGCCTCTCTCCGCCCACAGTGACTGCCGGGTAAAGTTGTGGAATTACGTCCCTGGACTCACCCCCTGCCTTCCTCGCCGAGTCCTGGCCATAAAGGGCCGCGCCACCACCATGCCCTGACCCTCCCCATCTCTCCCTGTCTCCTCTCTCATTCTCCCTCTTTCCTTTTCCCTCTCTTTCCCCACTTCGATCTGAGCTGCTTCTTAACGGTATGAGATTATTTTACTCCTCCTTCTTCCTCTCCCTTCCTGTCCTGCCTGGCCCAGAGAGGTGCCCCGCCCGTCCCTCCTGCTCCCACCGTCCTCCCCCGAGCATGAACAGTGGGACAGGCCCCAGGAGATGGGTGCCAGGGAGCAGGGAGCAGAGCGGGGAGCCTTCAGGCCTGGACAAAACGAAACACCAAAAAAAAAAAAAAAAAGAAAAGAAAAGAAAACCCATGACAGGCTCCTCCGGGGCCTCCCAGTGCACAGACAGGCCTCTCCGTCTGCCCAGCGCCCACCTGCAGCCACCTCCCCATAAGCGATGCTCGCCTCCCAGCCCAGCCACATTTGGGGAGTTTAGGGAATCCAGTTCATCCTCTACTTTTGGGGGCAGACAGCCAAGCCCACTACAAGAGCTGACCCACACCCCCCAACTTTGTCCTCCACCCCAGTGACCTGACGGTGAAGCTCTGGAGTGTCCGGCGGTTACCCCACAGCATCCCACCCTAGGAGTGAGGTCAGAGGGATGCCCCTGGACCCTCGACCCCAGCAGCCTGGACAGCAATGGAAGGGAAGCTGTGACCTGGCCGATGGGGCCGGCTGCCCGGGGGACAGAGGGCGTGGCCCCCACTCCTGCCCTCCTCCCTCTCCCTTGGCCTTCCTACAGGACACTGTTCCCTCCGTCCCTCCCCTGCTTCTCAGGAGCCTCTGGGTGAGAGAGAGGCTGGGGAGGAAATTAAGCTGTGAAGCCAAAGGGCATTATCTCTCCTTGTTCCTCTCCCTGCAATCCTGGCCACGTTGTCTCCTGCTGAACCGGCTCTGCCCCCTTTCCAGGCCTTTGGCCCAGAGGTGGGGCCCGGTGGGGAGGCGCCGCAGCCGCCCCGATCCCGCGCTCCGAGGAGCTGGCCTCCCGGCACCTCCCAGCCCAGCCTCTAGAGTCCCTGCACCTGCCTCTGAGCCCAAAAAGATAGTCCTCAGGTGGCTAAGGCAGCCAGGTGTGGACGCCTGGGCCTTGCAGCTAACCCTTAGCCTCTGCCACCCGCAGAGGGTCCCAGCTGGCCCAGCAGTGCCCAACATCCCTTCAGAGGGGGCCGAGGGGGAGCTGCTAGAAAGATTCCTTTGGGGAGATGGTCAGAAATACTTCAGTTATTTATTATTTTTTTATTTTTATTTTTTGCTGTTGCCTCCTGGAAACTGACTTGAAGTTTCTTCCCACATATTCTCTCCCTCAGCTCTTGGGGGCCAGAAATCCCGAAGGGAGTCCGCTGCCCCGGCCCTCCAGGGCCGCCGCCTCCGCTTTGTGGAGGAGGGAACGGTTCCTTCGACTCTGCAGCCCCCAACACAGCCCCCAGGGAGCCTTCTAGCTTACCCTCGGCCTCTAGGCCGCCTGACGCTCAGTGCCTTCCTCCGTCCCGGGGCCTGGCACCCGTACTGGGCAGCCTTACACCAGCCATGCCTGCGGCACCACATGTGTCTTCTCACTTTGAACATCTCGTGCCCAGCGCCCCCCAGCAAGGCGGGGGCGCTCACCCCACAGTCCAGGCCCCAGGGTTCTGCCCCAGAGTCCTGCGTGGGCCATGTAGGAAGCAGCATGGGGGCTGTCTGCTGGGAGGTGGCTCAGATGGGGAGGATGGCCCAGCACTCTGATCCCTGTTCCTCCCCAGCCCTTCATTCCCCCGCTGGTCCAGGCACATGTGCTGGGGCACTGCGCTAGGCAGGGGAGGAGGAAGTCTCTGCAGCTTCTCTCTCTCTGGTTATTCAGGAGACACATTTTCAGCCTTAAAAATGGCATGGAGCGCAGGCCCTGCCTTGCAGGAGATGATCGAGGAAGAGGGAGTCGGCAGAGTTTCTCTGCCCCAGGGCTGGGAAAGCTGAGCTCCAGGGAGGTTGCTAAATCAGTGTCCGGGCACCCCCTGTTGGGGAAACTCTGGAATTACAGGAGCGGGCCTTGGGAGGGACTAAGCTCCATCCCTCTCCCCCGCCCCACCCCCACCCAAAGCCTCCCACCCTGTTTTTCCGTTGCTTCGCTGGTCTTGTGCTTCCAGGCTTCGGTCTGGGAGCCAGGAGCCAGCCCCCACTCCCTTCAGAGGCCGCAGTGATGTTTGGACTCTCCAGAGGTGGCTCCTCTCCGTCTTGGGCCAGGGTACCTGGAGCCTTCTCTTGTGTCGTGCCCAGTGTTGTGGGGAGGCAGGCCCCAGTGGAAGCAGTGTGAGGCCTGGTCGCTTCCCCGTGCTCTCCTCCGAGCTGCCACAGAGGCGAAGAAGCCTGACCTGCTGGGGCTGGCCCTGCTGGATGTGGTACTGAAGTCTGGGGCAGCTGATGGCCGGAAGGAGGCGCCCTCGGAGGCTGCTCTCCCGGGACCTGGACAGTCTGTCTGCAATGACTGGAAATCCTTCTTCCTCTGGCCACCCCGGAGGTGCTGGGCAACCGCTTTAGCTCCGAGATGTGGCCACAAATCTCTTCCCATTCCTCTCCGTCCCTCCCCACCTGAACAAAAAGTTTTGACCTTGCAACCTGTAAGAAAGAATCTGTCCGCCTGACTGTTTACAAGCTATAGAAACACATAAGACTCTGTCCCCCGAGCTCCCGCAGGGGCCGGGGACGCCCCACCTGGGGTGGCTGCACTGTAGCTGCAAGGCCTGGTCTTTTGGCCCCGCGAGAGGTGCTCATCATCACTGCCCGTTTTCTGCTGTTTCCCATGGGTCAGCTACCTCACAGCGGGGCGGGCTCTGCTGTCCTGGCAAGTGTCATTGACTCTCTAAACTTGAAGTCCTTCAGGAGCCCTGAGCCCAACATCCCTGAGACACCCTGAGTTGTGCTCTGTGAGAGTTGGACTCTCTGCCCACTCAGGGATGTCCAAGGTCCATAGTTAGGGGGCACGCCCCCAGCTCCACTCACTGCACCAGTGCCCCAAGTGTTGAAGCACAAAACGGTCGTGACTTGAGCACAACGGCAGGGTCCCGCAGGCACACTCGGCCCAGGAGGCTCCTCCCAGCCTGGCTCTGTCCAAAGCGAGGTTGGGGACGGCCATGTCTGGACAGGGGTCTGTCCTTGCTCAGACCAGGCCTTGGCCCATGGCTTGTCCTATGGCTTGTCCTAATTCTGGGATTCGTCATCTTACTTCGTGCCCTTCTGTGCCCATCTTAAGACTTGAGGCTGAGCCCCGTCAGGCCCAGCCACATCTTTACGCCGTGGGAGCAGGAGTCAAGTCCTCTCTAAACCCCGCCCCCCAAAGCTCTGCCTGCCTGAGTTCAGGCTGAGCCCTAGCCCTAGGGAGCCTAAAGAGCTTGGACTCAGATTCCCTGTCTCCTGGGTCGAGCCCCACTCCGTGCTTGTGAAGCTTCTGAGCGGGTTCCCTCTGCCCTCGGGCCTCTTCAGCACGGTCCTGTGCCAGGGCCTCGTCCTCACCATCAGCCACATCAGTATTTGCTTTCCTGTGAGTGACTAACTCCTCTGAGGCAGCCGGAACCCTCAAAGGCAGCGCCTGGAGTTGCCCTGCGAGATTTCCAAGGAAGGAGGAAAGGCTGAGGGAGGCTGGCACGCCCGAGCCTTTGAGGTGGTCAGACCCTTGGGAAGGGACAGCTGTGGGTCCGGGAGCGGCCTCACCCCAGACTCAGCCTAGGAAACCCTTCACCCTCAGCTGGCCAGCCCTGCTGCCAGTCTGGGGCTGCGTGGCCTGGGCAGAGGGCAGTTTAAAGCACAAAACCACATGGGGGAAAGGCGAGGTCGCTGGGACTTTCTGCTGTGCCTGATGTGGTGGAGACAGGCAGGCAGCCATGGTGAAGTTAGAGAACCTCGCGCTGCTTTGCCCTGCCAGCTCTCCGCATCCCCAATGTCCGGGCTGGGAGCGGGCATAGCCCCTGGTTGTTGCTCGTGCCCGATCTGTTTGCCATTGTTGGGGGGGAGCAGAAGCCATCCTGCAGGAGCAGCGCATTTTTCCTCCCAGGCTGCCCGGACCTGTGGGGTGTGTGGCTTTGCCATCCCAAACAGGCAGCTGTGCTGCTCTCCTCCCTTGGCATAGGCTCCTGGTTGGTGGCCGCTGCCCCGCAGGCCTTCCTGGGCCTGGCCCTCCTCTCCCAACTCCCAGATCCTTCCCTGCCCTCATGTGCGAGGACAGATTGTGCAGGGAAAGTTCTGTTTCTTCTTTGACATCTTTGTTCTGTCCCCTGCCCCCTCCCCAGCACTCATGATCTTGAAGCCCCCACCACACCCTAGTTGAGTCCTGTGAACCATGTCCTGAGGGCCTTGCAGGGAAGTAGGAAGTAGAAACTGCCCCACAAAGAGCCGAGGGTCAGAGAAGACCCCCGAGATGAATCGGGGCCCTGCCCTGCCACCAGCTCTTCCAGTAACCGCGCCCTGCCCAAGCTGCAGGGTTTCATCCGGCTCCTGCGGTCCCCCGAGATGTGGCTGGCACAAGGTGTATATATGTTTTGTACCTCTGCCGATGGCTGTACATAGTGTATGAAAGTTATTTAAGCCTCATGTTGTACATTTCTGTTCCTAGATTGGATGTGAGTGTTCTAAGTTGTCATAAATAAAACCTGAATGACCAATGTCTGTGGAGCCCCCTCTGGGGGGCTGCTGACTTTGGGCTGGGGCGTCTGGAGAGGGAGTGGGTTGGGGGGTGGCGGGGTGAGTGGGTACAGCAGGCCGCTGGGCTGGGCCCAGCCTGATGAGAACTTCCTGAGCTGTGAGTTTGGGGCTTCACCGGTTAGGAAGCAGAGAGCTTTGAGAGCGTCACATTCTCCTCCAGGCTCCCGATATTGCCTCCGGGGGCTGGTGCAGCAGCCAGGAGAGTGGGCAGCAGCATTCCTGGCCCACCTACTATATTCTAGGCACTGTTCAGAGCAGTTTTCATTGTGTCTTCACTGCCCTGTGTAACAGGTGACAATCTCATTTTATGAAATGAGAAAAGTCTCAGGATGGAAGTGATTTGCCCAGCATCACAGCTGGTAAGGACAGAGCCAGGATCTGCATCTCGAGCTGCCTGACCTCAGCAGCCTTTGCCTTTGGCTAATGTGACACATGCCTCCCCAGGCCTGCGCTGTGCTGTGCTGCACGCAGACACGTCTCAGTCCCTTGCCACTTGTGGAAAGAAGGCAAGACTATAAAAAGATCATAGGAGAAAACAGCTCCACAAAGGTCACTGTTACTATTTGTTTAATAGAAATGGGGTCTCACTATGTTGCCCACGCTGGTCTCAACTCCTGGGCTCAAGCCCTCCTCCCATCTCAACCTCCCAACATGCCGGGATTACAGGAGTGAGCCGCCATGCCTGGCCAGGATTTTTTTTCTAGATCAGTGCTTTTCAGTCTTTAAGAACCCATATTCCCTTTTGATAACCACAAACTGTTTCACCAGCTCCTGGAGATTCCCGCCCATCCCCTTGGCAGAGAGGCCCCTCAGGGAGAATCCACTCTTCATCACAGCCCGTGACTGATTAAAAAGCTTAACTTCTGGCCAGGCGCGGTGGCTCACGCCTGTAATCCTAGCACTTTGGGAGGCTGAGGCAGGCGGATCACGAGGTCAGGAGATCGAGACCATCCTGGCTAACACGGTGAAACCTCGTCTTTATTTTAAAAAACACCAAAAATCAGCCAGGCATGATGGCATGCCCCTGTAGTCCCAGCTACTCAGGAGGCTGAGGCCAGAGAATCACTTGAACCGAGGAGGCAGAGGTTGCAGTGAGCTGAGATTGTACCACTGCACTCCAACCTGGGCAACAGAGTGACACTGTCTACAAAAAAAAAAAAAAAAAAAAAAAATTGTGTCAGAAATACAATAGAGTCTCTCAGCCTGCACAAGTCCCCCGCTGCAAGTCCAGACTTATGGCTGGGACGGGTGCTCTGGCCAGGGAATTCCTGGAGTCTGTAGGAGGCAGAAGTCACCGAGGGCTTCCTGGGGAAGGTTTCCCCCAGAAAGGCTTCCAGTCCTCAAACAGAAGGGCCTTGGCCAGTGAGAGAGGGACCCTGAGCCATGGAGGGAGACACAAGTGGGCAGAGTTGCCCTGACTTGCCAGCCCTGCTGGCGGGCACAAAGCTGCCTGCCCTGGGAGCAGGGTGGCTTGTTGTGGATAGCTGTTTTGGCTGGCTGACCTGGCATTACCCGTGCCACTCCCTGCCCCACCCTCGATCCCCACAGGCCCATATTTTACATGGGATGCTGCCTGACAGTGGGGCAGAGTCCACTGTGAACTGCAGGGAGTGACACCTGGCCACAGCCAGCTGCAGGCTGGGCAGGGTGTGTGGGCGAGACCCAGAGACCGGCCCTGGAGTGGACTCCAGCCAGCTGGTTCCTCCCCGTACCCGCTAAGAAGTTTCACGGCACAAGGTAAATTTTCCAAATGCAGGTCACTGTCTCTCGAGGATGCCAAGGCTTTTGCGGGGTGCAGTGGTGGACAGGAACAGAGGATCAAGAAACTCTTCTTTTAATGTGGAGTGTTGTTTTGTTTCCAGATTACATTCGTAATATCTGCTTACTTTAGAAAATTTGGAAAACAAGAAATTGTCAAGAAAAATCCCATTTAGGATATAAGCTATGGGGCAGCTTTCCCAGGCACAAGGGAATAGCGCCTCTCGGAATTTGGTAAGAGCCATTCATTGTTAGAACTAGGTGGCATCTTAAAGGGTGATTTTTCCTCAGCCACTGAAGTTGAGTTTTTTTTTTTTTTCTTTTTCTTTTTTTGAGTCTCACTGTGTCGCCAGGCTGGAGTGCAGTGGTGCGATCTCGGCTCACTGAAACCTCCACCTCCTGGGTTCAAGCGATTCTCCTGCCTCAGCCTCCTGAGTAGCTGGGACTACAGGTGCATGCCATCATGCCTGGCTAATTTTTTTGTAGAGACAGGGTTTCACCTTGTTGGTCAGGCTGTTCTCAAACTCCTGACCTTGTGATCCTCCTGCCTGGGCCTCCCAAAGTGCTGTGATTACAGGCGTGAGCCACCGCACCCAGCGAAGTTGAGTTTTGAAAACAAAGATAATGTTTTCCAACTCTCTCAGTTTACACATTTACATTTTACAGAATGAAGGCCCAGAGAGGCCAACAGAGTTGGCCAAAGCCATCCTGGGACAGAGACGGCCCTAGAATCCACTACTTCCCATGCATTCATTACCTCGTATTTGTTACGTTATGCTGGACCAAAGTGAGGGGGTGGCTTGTGGGGGTGTCAGAACAGTCTATGAAGTGGGCTTCACCCCAATGCACTTGACCTGCTGATAGGTTTTGAATAAGAGCTACCTTTTATCATTGCTTGTAACAAAGCAAAACTACCCTGGCAGAGGCGGGGCACTGCAGGGCAAGCATCGGGCCTGGATGTGGACCCTTGGGGTGTGGTTTGGGCTGTGCCAGGGCCAGCCATGGTGGTTTTCTATAGAGCAGTGCTGTCCCTGGGTCTGTGGTACCCAAACTCTCTGATTTCCCGGGATGTTTTGTGCTCACTGACAATGCTTTAATAAATCACTTTCCTGCTTCAACCAACCAGAACGGACTCTTGCTTCCTCTCACAACTGCATTCTAGAACACCTCATGCGTGCCAACATGACTTTCCCCACGGCTCATAGGTGAAGTTGGTTCAAAAGAAACTGCTTGCTCTGGCCTCAGACCACGTGTCTGAATAGGAGAAGGGAACACAGAGGCAGAGCAGGAGAGGTCAGCCCAGACCCAGATGTTTGTTGGCGAGAAGGCGGCTCACAAGTGGCTCTACCCCAGAAAGCCAAGAATTGACTGGAAAGACATGAGAGCTATTTTCACAAAGGTGTGTGCTCTTTCCTTTTATGATGAGGATTCTGCAGGGCTACACCTCCATTTCTAGTATAAGACCCAGGAATCCGGCCCCACTGTCACAGGGTCTAATGGCCAGGCCTATATGTGAGACCCAAGGACGCAGGCTCAGAAGTAGCGCCTTCGGAGTCTCCTCCTGGAGAAGCAGGATGGGGGTTGCTTGGCCAGTAGCAGCTTCTTCTTGGCGTCCAGGATATAGAAAGTCTGCGTGGTGAGGCAGCTGACCGTAGGGTCAGAGTCTCTCTGCATGTGTCTTAGGGCTGCGACAAAGACACAGAAAGGCTAGTGGGCTGGGCAGGAGGGCCCTGCAGTGCAGAGAGGTACCAGGCCATGGCATCAGGACTGGCGGATTTGAAACTATGAGCAAGTTTCTTCTGGGAGTCCACAGTGCTCCGTCACAAGCAAGACCACATAGCCGCTGCGCACACGGAGATGCGAGGCCCGCGTGCTCCTCAGCCCGCACCCATTACCAACCCCTCACTCCTCTCCACTGGCCCTCCCTGGCCCTGCGTCCCCTCTTCCCCGTAGAATAGCTGTGCATGAAGTCCTCTGCAGCCGGGGACTCAACCACACATGGGGGCCCAATGCTGTCTCTCCCACAAGAAGCCCAAGGGACCCTCCTGGCTGCTGGATGGGCTCCGTGGTGGCGAAGGTGAGCGTGAACATGGGGCAGGGGGCTCTGACCGGCACCTCAAAACTGAAGCCCCCTGGGGATGAGTCTGCCTCTTCACTCCTCTGGAAGATCGTTTTTGTGCGGCGATCAGCCCATCGTTCCTAACTTCTGAGCATTCCTCCCCAGCACTGGTGCTGCCAAAAGACGCAAGGAGGAGGAGACCAGGCTGCCACTCACCTGCGAGCGCCTCGTCAACGTCATCCATCTCTTCCAAGTCAAGGGTCTGGAGAATCTGGCCTACAGGGGCACACAGAGGCACCTCAGAGCCCCACGAGGAATCAGTGGGGCCCTGGCTGCAGGTACTCTTGTCCCCTTTCCCAAAACACTCCCCATTCCCTCCTTTTTCTTGTCTTCCCCTCCCTTGGCCACCAGCCTCAGGTTTGGACTTCTCCCATGAAGCTGAACTTGTGTTCTCTGAAGGATTCTAAGCCAGTTGGGCTGGGCGAAGGAGCAGGAGTGGACACGCCTCTCCCCGAAGAGCTCTTCCCTGGGGTGATCTGAGGCAGTCTCCCACCTACCTCTGAACTGCCCCCACTGAGTAGCTCCCAGACCCCGATGCCCCACCCTTTGGCTCTCTGCTCACTGGTCTCCTAGGACTTGGCACATTCTGCTGTAGGAAGGTGACCACCCAACCCAACCAGGAGCTTCCTGCCGGGGAGGGAGCAGGAGGCCCAGGGAGGCACTCCCACCTCCACTCACACCCCCCAACGAAATCCCCATGGGTTCTGTCTCTCCACATGTCCTGGGTGCTCAGTCTGCTTAAGGGACCCTACAACAAGGACAAAGTGGCTCCCAGAAGACGAAAGGCCATACCTGCAAACCACACAGCTGCCCGGCGGATGGGAACCTGGGGGCTGCTGAAGCACGCCACACACTGCTTCAGAAACCAGAGGGCTTTGTTCGTCTCCTGCTCCAGCTGTAACGAGAGGGGTCTGATTGTGGAAGGGACCCTCGGACAGTTTTCAGATGACACTGGAGCCATCCCCTGAGAGCAAAAACCTGTCAAAACCTTCGCCATCTCCATCCCCTCCTACCCCAGCTCCTGAACTCTTCTTTCTTTCATGAAGCCATCCTGGACTGGCCACACCACCCGGGCCACACTCCCTGT